GGAATTAATAGTATTATAAATAATAGGGGGGCTTTTAATTGTAAACATAGAAATTAACATGGAAATGACAGAATAGGCAAGGAATTACTGGCCACAACCCCTGTTCACAGCAACTACTCGAGGCCTTTTATGTCTATCATGGTTCTTTGGATGTAATAATATCTGGAAATATTCTCCTCTCTCTGTCATTTGTTCTGACGTTCTTTCTCCCTCGGTTAATGTCACAGAATGATAAAGACACGCCAGATTAGAAGTAAAGAAATAAGTTAAAAATTGTGAAATTCTTAAAACTTAAACCATGTGGTGACTGTTCAAATGTAATGTAATGTGAACATGAACGTGTGTAAAATGGTTACAACTTTTCATACACAAAGACAAAGAAACAGAATCAGTGCTTCTCATTTGAAGTATATCTTTGAATCGGTCATCATAAAGATTTGTTTGTTGAGGAACAAAGTAAAAAATAGTAAAAAAGTAAAAATTTTAGAGGACTTCATTAAATGAACATTAATATACAAAACAGCTGATTTGGGGTTTCTTCAAACTGGCTGAGTAACTGATCACTACAATTTCAACATTTTCAAAGGTGACTAAAGGGATCATTTTTATTAGAAGTCATCTCCGGTGCAAGCTGACTTTTTTAATCCTATTAATTGTTCCATCCTAATTATTCTTCATCTCATGTTTCGTCTGTCTAATTGCTCTGTTGTATTTGAATAACTGCATCCGGGTGGGGGTTGCCAGATTAGCTGATGCCTGTGCGTCTCTTTAAGACACGAGGCAACACTAGCAAAATGTCTTAACCCTCTTGAAACAAATGTGTTCAAAATTTAAAACAAATATGGAAATCACCTCTGATATGTTTGGATTCTAGATGGCATATAACCATAAATACATTGATAAACATAAACTTGTTTTTCTTTGGATATATCATTCTAATCGATCAAAAGTGGATTAAAAAACAGTAACGTTGCCTTAAACGACTTTCTCCCGAGCGTTTTTTTCATGTTGAGAAATCTTAATTTAATGAATCAGTCTGTTAACTGGCCTCTCTTTGCTCTTTTCATTTCAACGACGACCACTTGTCTGGAAGTCACAGCTGGGAAAGCTGACAGAGATCCATGCTCCCAGCTGGTCCCCTCTTCACCCCCTCCTTCCTCCTCCTCCTCCTCCTGCAGGGCTGCTGATGCTGAGAGCAGCCTGCAGTATCCAAACACAGGCATCACACACCCAAGGTCTACCAATTAATCACACCTCTTTCTCCCTGCCTCCTCCTTTTCCTGCCTTCGTCTGTGTTACCACATGGCCCTTTGTAGCTTTATTCTAATGTCCTTTAATATTTACCAATAACACAAAACATGTAAAATACTTTAAAGAAAATACACTAAAATGTCTAAATAGGAAAATGAAATGAAAATATCAGAGTAGATGCAACTGAAGACAGCGTAGTCACTACACAGTATCACACACACACGCACACACACACACACACGCACGCACGCACGCACGCACCAAAAGACTACTAAAAGGTACAACTACAGAGAGTTGGGGAGAGTAAATATCACAAACGAACCAATAGGAATTTAGTGTCATTAAAGCGTTATTTAAAAATGTAGGCAGTAAATAAAGCCCAGCACACAGCTTCCATCAATTGTTTGAATGAATTCAGCAACACACCCAGACGAACTGGGAGCAACTTGTTAAATAAAGTCTACGACCAGAGGTCGTTTGAATCCAGCAGCTTACCTTTGTCGTTTTTCTCCTTATCCATGTTACAACGGACAACATGGATAACTGATAACTCCTCTCCAGCCGGTCACAATAAAGGAAGGGCGGGTGCACCCGTCAAGCACCCCCTCTCCGTCTCCTCCACCCTGTTCTGACAGGAAGTGAGTGATAGGAGCGCCGTCCAATCGCAGGCTGTATCGCGGGAGGCGGGTCTCGTGGCCACGTGGGCCTGTAGAACGTGTTGTGTAGCCAGTGTGTGAAAGCAAGTGAAAGCTGTTTGGCATATACAGTCGCAGCACACTGGAGCACCAAAGCACACCTAAAGAAAAAAACCTAAAAAAAATCTGCTGCTCTTTGCCCACACAAACTATGAAGCTATAGAGCTCAGTTAATGTTTAATCTTAAAACATAGATAAATAACTAGAAAGTATTTAACTCTGTGAGGCTTCATCTCAAAAACAAAAAATACGTTTAGGAGAATTATTCAACCTTTAGCAAAACAATACCATGTATTTTAGAAAGCTTGCGTTTCTGACAGTTTTTTTTTTATTCATCATCATCTCTCATGTCCATGTCTGGAAATGAGACAATTTTTAAAGGGGAAAATAATTCTATAATATTATTTTTTTAAACGTAAGAAAAAGAGACAATATTTATAGTTATTTGCCATTTATAGTCTTTTTTTTTTTACAGTCATAGCTTTAACTACGTTCCTCTGCCTTACGTCATGGTGTAGATAGGAAGAGAAATAGAGTAGGAGTCATCTTGAAAGAAGAACATGTGAATAGGTTTGTGGAGTCGAAGAGAGCGTCAGATGGAATTGTGAGTTTATAGTTGGAAATCAAAGGGGAGAATGTAGCTAGAGCGCACTGGAAGTTAATCTGTAGCATGACTTTCAAAGTCAAGAAGAGGAGGAGAGTGAAGGCAGCGATTAAATGGTTGAAGTTGAAGGAAAGATGTTGCACAGAGTTCAGGGAGGAGCTGAGTAAAAAGTGAAGAATTGCCAAATGACTGGGAAAGTACAGCAGAAACGGTGGGGGAAACTGTCAAGAAAGAAAATCCTCTGAACAGAAAAAAGAAGACAAGAAAATTTGATGGTGGAATGAAGAAATGCAGGCATTCAAAGTAATATCTTAGCAAAGCAAAAGTAGGATTGTCCGAGAAAGTAGACAGGAGTACTCGAAGGCAAGTCATACAGCAAAGAGAGAAGTGGCAAAGACAAAAGAAAGAGCATATAGTGAGTTGAATGTGAGGCTGAACACTAAGGACGGAGAAAACGACTTGTAGTGATTGGCTGGATAGTTTATGTTAAATAGAACAAGCTCATTTTCTAATTAAGTCTCTAAGGAAATTATTTATTGATGCAACAGATCTCTGGATCTCCCCTAAAGGCACTGCACATCCAGTTTGGATTTAACTAGAAGGGATATTAAATATTAATGAAACCACAATTCTTTGACAATAAATTCATGAACCCTAAGAAGTTTAGAAAGAGCTTGTTGAATTTGACCATGGTATTGTAACAGTTTGGGAATTTCTTTCTTTCCTCCTTGATGTTCTACGAAAATTCCAACAAAAAGTGGTATTATTGCAAAGTGGAAGCAACTATGAATGGGAGGCCATGTAGACTTACAGAGTTACTGAGTGTTGATGTAGTGCTGTGCGATACTACAAATTTTGGTATCCATACCAAACACACCTGAGCATCCAGCACAGGACACTGGGGAACCACCAATGCACCAGTGGGTGGGGGCTTGAGGCACTGGCAGGGAGTGCGGCCCAACACCTGGAGGATCCTGAAATGTTCTAAGGGGAGTCTAAGACTTGACCTGACACATAGACATACATGACACAGACGACCCTCTGCCAGACAACGGTTGGCGTTAGCGGGAACAGCCAGAGGCCCACGATGTCCGGAGGAACTCACTCGCCTGGTGGAGCGCTGCAGCGAGGGCCCCCTGTCCGAGCTCTGGGTGTGCAGCGCCAGCAGCTAGAGCCACAGCAGCTGAGATTTTCTTTTTTTCTTTTTTTTGTAGTTAGGGGCTAGGCAGCATCTAAGGAGGCTGCCAAGACAGGCTCCCACATGTGATCACAATTGCCACACACACACTCTCACACAGTACCACACGTAGGTACATGTGCAATATGTAACAGAGTAGAGAGATAGGCTCAAAATGATAAAGAACTACTGTTGCTCTCTTATCAGGGAGTTTTTCTTTAGTTACAGGAAATGCTTTACATGTTTTAGGCGAGGTTGCTGTCAACCTTGCAAGTTCACAGTGCAGACTCTCCAGTCACTATTCTGTGACTTTAGCATATGAATAGGGAACATTTTAACAAACAGTCTGATTTAATCTTGGAAATAACTTTGCATTACTTTTATTAATTATTAAAAAGAGAAAATGTTTGTATAGATGACATTTACCAGTCGTTAAATTACTAATTCGCTTGTTATCCTTAATTCTCTAATGTCCAAGTCAGTGATGAGCCCAATAATAAACATAAGTCTATCAGAATATGTATGTTAAAGTTTTCACCTACGACAAAGACAGCGAGGACTGTTATTATTATATTTATTTATTTTACAGCAGTCAGCTGTTCCTTGTCTTGCTTCTGTTACGCACACCAGAGAGTACACATTGAACAAAGAATAGACACTCAAAAAAAGGCCTTGAAACAGCCCCACAGGGACACTGTTTGTGGTAAATGTGACACATTGGTTCAGTATAGACTAATGATTTACTGCAGACGTATTATTCCGTGAGTAGATCCAGCATGAGCAGCAACATTAAGACGGTTGATTAGTGTCTAAAAATGATGACTAAAACTTTTAGTAATGAAGACTTGTATTTGTAAAGGAGTATTTTAGAATGGATTGAAATAATCCAAATAATCTTCCACCATTAGTTGCAGTGGGCGAGAAAGATACGAGACAGACATTTCAAGATTTTGCAAATATTTTCATGTTAACCACTTGCATTTGTGACATAAAAGAAACCTATTTTGTGAAAAACTAGTGAGTTTTCTTTACATTAAAACATATTTGCTGTTAAAAATGATTATGACTGATATACTAAGCACTAGCAGGTTTACCAATGGTCCCAACACACACACACGCACGCACACACACACACACACACACACACACACACACACACACACACACACACACACACACACACACACACACGTACCGCTTACTTGAAGGTATCCATTAGAAAAGGGCTTTTAAAATCTCACAGTTGTAAGCACTTAAAACCATAGTGACTCTGTAGTTTGGATAAAGCACTTTAATAGCAGATGAATATTAGAAAGAAGACATGGCAATGCATGACAACAGTTAGTGTGTTACTTACATGAGCAACATTTGACACTCAGATTAAACTCAAAATTTGATATGTTTCTCTTCAAAAGCACTCTTCCCTGACACAACACTCAAGATTTCAAAAATAAAATCCCTTCCCCAGTATTGCAATTAAATAAATACCTAACACAAGCTAATGTAAGGAGCTGAGCTGGGCACTTCATTTGACCAGAAAAGAATCAATCACTCAAAACACATTTATGATAATGTTGTCATTCATTTCTTATATCAGGTCAGTTGACAAACCCCATTTCCCATCCTCATGCATGCCTTAAGAGTTATACACCATGGCAGACAGATAAATCTGATATATATCCAGTATATGTTTACATACATGTTACAGTATGTTAGTTGGCAAGTTGATCGATTTACGGTCCAGAAAGTCGAGCAAAGCTTGAATGTATAGCTTTATTACTGTACGCAACAATACTTTCAAACAACAAACATACAAAGAGTTAACTCTCTAGCTGAGAAGATATAATACAGTTAGAGTATTGACTTTAAAATCAAACAAAACCTCTCTTGTTCAGCTTACGTCTGCTGCAGTTATGTGAAGCTTAGTCTGCAAGGATTTATTTTGTTCAAAAAAAAAAAGAAAAAGAAAAAGATGATTCTCTCAGCTGCATCCTCCTGACTGGTTTAATGATCCTTTTCAGAAGTCAAAAATAGCTTATAAAAATAATTGTATTTGTTTTGTTTTTTTCATGTGAGTGCACGTCACCCTAGCAATGCAGCATGTTTGACATGTTTGTACACCCTGAAACCTTCTGTATTCTACCCCTCCTTTTCTTCCTCTCGCTGACTGTGATTCAGAGTTGTGGCTGCTATCCAGCCCCTGGCTACTCTATCTGGGCTGATTTATGAGAGGCTTGCGTGAGATATGGAGCCACATTCAAATGTACCAGAGCACGCATATCAAAACTATGTAGCCAACTTCTCTGATTGAATAGAACAAGAAGGAAAACCAAAAACAAAAGATGATGAGGTGGTTTTTGACAGTTTTGAAGTAAAACATCACATATTGTTTGTTTTTTTTTTATCCCTGTCTTTGACCTTGACATGCTTGAACAGTGAATGTCTACAGTCTCTTCACTGTCCTAATGTAATGGCAAGGGTGTAAAAACGAACTGTCTTGAATATGTAACAGTAACCTATTGCAAGGAGCAGACACAGCAAGAGAGAAAAGGCAGCGCAGCAAACAGGTGATATGTAGAAAGAGACAAGATGGCAAAACCTCACAAAGAGAAAACAAACTCTGTACAGAAACAGAAACAAGTCAATACTGAGATTAAAAGAAGGTGCACATAAAACATTCCAAACCACAGAAACCTGGAGGAAGGCCTGCATGAGAATTGGAAAAAGCTGTTGTTTTTTTATGGAGTATGAAAGCACTGGCATATGGGAGGGTCAGGGGTCGATGCAAAAACCACATAGGAGGCAAGGAGCATCAGCACAGGCCATGCAAACACAGCTCCTCAATCTCCATAAGGTTGTCAGTCAAACATTTGGACCACACTGCATACAAAAAGCTATAGATGCCCGCCGCAGCTTTGTGAAACTGTGCCCTCGCAGGGTTCCTCTGTGGCTTCACAGGCATGGCGTTTTAGAGGTGGAAAGTAGGAGGAAGGAGTATCACGGTGGTGCATATATAGATATTTCCGATGGGGCTTTTTTTTGTATTTTGTTTTCTTCCCGATACTTTTTGAGATTTTGTTTAGCATTGTTTTTCTGTCTAAAAAAGGCGTGCCTTCTTCTTCATGTCATTCTTCTTCCAGAGAGCCAGGCGGTCAAACTGCTCCAGGGTCATGCCGAACACTTGGTGAAAGTCCTCTGGAGATAGATGTCTCTGGATTAGGAAATTGTGGCAGAAAAAACATTGTTATTTAGAGTGGACAACAGTAATACCAGCAGCTTCTTGTGAACCTTATAACCAAAGGAAACACTGGTGGTGGTTGGCGTTTTAATGATAAAGAAGCAAAGTGGGTGACAAGATGTTCAGACATATTGACCACAACTGTACTTTTATTTATTTTGTACCATAAAGATCTTTAAACTCAGCAAAATAGTTATCATATATTTGTTTTTCATCAACAGTTTCTTCCATTTGCACACTTTCTCTAAAATTATAAACTTTTTCTTTCAGAACGATACTGAAAAACTAGTTCATGCATATATTACTTCTAGCCTAGTGTATTCTATTCATTTATATCAAGATGTCCTAAAACTCCTTGAAAAGCCTTCAGTTGATCCTGCAGTAAGAGGACTGACAGGAACTAGAAAAAAAGCAGATTCTAACCATTTCGACTTCTCCTTATTGGCTCCCTGTTAAATCCAGAATTGTATTTAACCTCCTAGGACCTGGCGTCCACATATGTGGACATCACATTTTGGGTTATTTAGACCAAAATACTTAACCTTTCTCTACAGGGGCCTAATATCCACTTACGAGGACACTATACTGCTACTGTTCTATTGAAATTTTGAATGAATATCCTCATATGTGGCTCTGATTTTTCGTAGAAACAAAATTTAGATAAAAAAAAAAAATCTGGTAATTCGTTGTTTTTACATTCAACAGGTCCCAATCAGCCCAAATATCAAAGAGAAATTAATAATGCATGCCATGGAAGAGTTCGGGTCTTAGGAGGTTAAAATCACATAAAAAGTCTTGAATAATGAGAATAATCATCTTATCTTAAAGACCTTATAGTATCAATCATTCATTCTCAGACTGCAGAATTGTGGTTCAAAGGATATCTAAAAGTAGAATGGGATGCAGAGTCTTCTGCTTTCAGGTCTCTCTTCAGTGAAACTAGCTTCCAGTTGGGATCCAGTAAACAGACACCCTCTCTACTTTTAAAATTAGGCTTCAAACTTTCCTTTTTGCTGAAGCATATAGTTAGGGCTGGATCAGGTGACCCTGAATCCTCCCTTAGTTATGCTGTAATAGGTGTAAGCTGTTGGGTGACTCCCATGATGACCTTTTTTCACTTCCTGCAAAAAAATAGAGTAACCTTTGTTGCTTGAACACATGTGTCATTCAGAATTAAGGGTGCCTTCACAGCAGTGCAAGCTATGCAATGTGCTGCCATTGAGCTGCTCAAACTGATTAATCAATAGAACAATAAATTAATTTCTAACTGAAGCAGTACTATCTCTGGATCTTGGCCAGCATAATTTTTATTAATCTGTATCAGCTTCATGTCTAAGCCTGAACGCATATATTAGATGGACATCCTGACATGTCTGTGTTGTGCGCACACAGTAAACAGGCATAATATTGCCTTCTGTCTTGATGTTTAATACAGTATTTTGAATTTTATCCCTTATAAATTCTTCCAACCAAAACTCCTATCCTAAAACCTCATGTTGCCAACACTCACTAAGTTCTCTCTAAAAAACAGACACAAAAACAGCGTAACAAAAACTTGCATGGCATTGATTTAAACCCAGAAACAGAGCGTAGGTAGCTTTAATATAAAATGTTTCCTGCACTGTGCACTGCAGGTGTGTGTTTTTTGTGATCAAACGGTAAATGGCCTGTATTTGTATAGCGCTTTTCTAGTCCCTAAGGACCCCAAAACGCTTTACACAACCAGTCATCCACCCACTGGCAAGCTACATTGTCGCCACAGCCACCCTGGGGCACACTGACAGAGGCGAGGCTGCCGGACACTGGCGCCAAGTGTCTTGCCCAAGGACACAACGACCGAGACTGTCCTAGCTGAGCTCGAACCGGCAATCTTCCCATTACAAGGCGAACTCCCAACTCTTGAACCACGATCGCCAACTATCAAGAGCTAGGTAAAGCTATTTCTGTGAAACAGCCAATCCCCTGGTTTATATCAGCAAACAGAAGGTTTGGTTTTCACCCCGAGGTAAAAATGTTCAGGTGCCTTAAATTTTTCACCTGCCAAATTGACAGGATAATGACACTGGTGGTATGAAAAAGGAGGATACTCTTCCCCATTTCATATCACAGTGTGTAACTGTAAAACCAATGACTCATGCCATTCAGTATGTTACACAACATGTTTTCTGTTAGCTGTCAGTAGCAAAACACCTGGTGTGACATCACTGAATGGTATTCTGCTAAAGAGGTTGAATCCAAAGACTTTCAGCTCTAATTCAACAACTTTAACACAAGTTTTGCTTCAACTGTTTCAAAATTACAGCCATTTTATACACATTCCCCCATTTCCAGAGGCTCAAGAGTAGCTGGACAACTGCAAGTAGTTTAATGGCCAAGTGAGGCCTATTTCCTTGTAATTGTATAACAAGATCGTATAATCTGGAGATTATGATGAGAATTGTATTTTGTAGCTTTTTGCTGAAATGTCAGTATGAGGTCCAAAGAAATGATTATGATGAAAGAGATGGAAGTTATCTTTTGGTGAAAAAACCAAATTCCACCTCTCAGAGAGGCTGCAAAAACTTAGATTTTTAGAAAACATGAAGAAAAGAGAGAAACAGCTCATGATCTGAAACATACCACGTGATCTGTCAAACACAGTGGAGGTTATGGCATAGCCATGTATAGCTGCCAATGGAACCAGGAAATAGTATTTATTGATGACATGACTGCTGATAGAAGTAGCCAGATTATTCTGAGGTATATAGGACTACACTCTTTGCCCAAGGATACTCTGGCATTTATACTGGAGCAGCATGAGATCAAACCAGACACCTTCCAATTACTGGCTGACCTACCTCCTGGGCTATAGCCACTCCAACATGGACCTAACTGTGCGGGTTTACACTTTAACGGGCATCCTTACAGAGGGTCACACACTAGCTAAATAACAGAGTCATCAGTGTTTATCCAGATAATACATGAGCAAATATATCTGGAGGCCTATTTGGGGTTGGCTTTGGCTTAGGAGGTGAAGTGAGTCGTCTGCTATTTGGAAGGTCAGTGGCTCGATGCCCCAGCTCCTCCAGTCTGCATTCTTCAGTTATGAGTGCTTAGGCATAAAAAAAAATGACTTGCATGAATGTGTGGGTGAATTAGCTTTGAGTGCCCAAATGGAAAAGTGCTACTATCCATTTATTTACTATTTCAAAGAACTTGGAACTCCTTTTTCTTGCATTTCTATAATTTTTATATAGCCTAGACTTCAGTTTGTGCTCCTAAATTTACATTTTTCCGTGGCACAAGAACTACATGCGGTGTGTACTTACATCTTTTACTTTTCATTAAGACTACAAGCAAAGTTAAATTAAATCAAAATAAATTTAAAGCAATTAAAAACCTGTCAGTTTGAGGTGTTGCATGGGTCAGGTAGCTTAATTGACCTAATCACAACAGGCTTATTGATGTGAGTTTGAGCCTTTAATTATGTGCAATATTTTTGTTAAATATATTTAACCTCCTAGGACCTGGCGTCCACATATGTGGATATCACATTTTGGGTTATTTAGACTAAAATACTCAATTTTGCTCTACACGGGCCTGATATCTACTTACGAGGACATTGTAGTGCTACTGTTTAATGAACATTTTAGATGAATATCCTCATATGTGGCTCTTATTTTTCTTAAAAACAAAAATAAGGTAAAAAAAAAAATCTGGTAATTCTTTGTTTTTACATTCATCGGGCCCCAATCAGCCCAAATATCACAGAGAAATTAATAATGCATGTCGTGGAAGAGTTTGGGTCTTAGGAGGTTAAAGAAAGAACATTAATATTCTTTACAATGATTCTCTGTATTTTCAGAAATAAATAAATGGAAAATACTTTAAATATTTGGCTACAATAATAGTAAAAGGTACTTAATATAGCAACCCAAGCTTCAAGAGCGACTAGCCGAAAAGACACATTTTACAGGCAGTGTATGGTTTAAACGTGCATAAGAATAGTTTTCTTTGTTTTTTTTCCCTTTTCACTTTTATATGTTTCCATCATATAAAAATTGACTTTTTAGCTGCTGATTAGTATGGCTAAACCTAAAACAGTTAGGGGTCAAGGATCAGTGGTGGGTAAAACGCAGGTCAAACAGTTTCTCTTCTGCACACACTTTTGACAATAGGACTCCAGTCTGGTATTTCCAACCACAGAGGGAATCTCTTGAGTATCCTCAGTAACCTCAATATGGTCAGACTCCACTTGGGACAATATTTCTGTTAACTGAAAGCCTCACAGTGAACTCTCATAGTGGGGTTACTGAAGACTGAAATGTTTCAGAGGATGTTTTTTAGACAAAACCTCTCTTCCGAGGACTGCAAAACATGAGCTCTGAACCCCAACACAAACCACAATTGGATTTTTTTTTAATGGGTTCTTTTAGAGACAAAAACAGCTCATTTTTTTCAGCTGCTCAAACTTAATGAAAGTTTTGAATCTTTAAATGGGTTGTGTAATAATAACAGCAGCAGGAAATTGGTTATTCTGGGACATTAAGTCCAATTTCACTTTATTTCTTTATTATAGTTATAGGACATATATGTGTGTTAAACTTGCTGTGACCTGGCACCAAATTAAATTAAACTACTGCAAATTATACTTATATTTCTCATAAAATCCCCAGATGTACTCTACTATGCAGATTATTTCTTTAACTTGAAGAATTTTCTTGCAGAGGCCAAATAAATAAAGACTTCCATTACATTTATATATAAATGCTGAAGATGTCTTTTTAAAAATCTAAACATTAATAAACCGATGTTGCAGATCTGTCTCCTCTGGTTTCTGATTTTTCACCAGATTTTAAAACCTATCAGCAGCCACAAAATCAAGGTCGGACTGTGCATGTCATTCGTCTTTTTCTCAGCCATACTGGCTCTGGCTTTGGCAGAGTGTTAATGACAGGCATGGCATGTTTGTTTCAAAGATTCATTTGTTTAATTCATCAGTCTTTATGTGTCTCTGTAGTAGTGTTCTGCTTCCTAGTTACCAAAAAATATATATATATAGGTTGATGTTTAAAAAAAAAAATCAAGAAAGAGGCATATATCCCTATATTCCACTATTTCACAGATTTCTGTCTGCAGACATAGACTGTATATAAAACAAGACCTTAACCTGTTTCTAAAGTCATCGCTGGTGATGTGCCCAGCCCTAACCGTATGTTTTAGAGAAAAGCAAAAAATTACTATTTTAGAAAAAGTATAACTAGTTTTTCTTCTGTGTCAATTACAACAATTACTTACTTTGTCTTGGAGAACAGTTTTACTCTCTGAGGTCTATATCATCACTGATAAAGACTCTAACCTTCATCCCTATCATTCTAATGGACACAAATCAAAATCTACACATATTTTTTTCCCCAAAAGAGTAGTTTTTGGTTGTCTAAAAGAGGGTTAGTGTGAGTGTTTGAAGCTAGGATTTAGGTAATTATTGATCATGACTCGGACTCCAAAGAAGTAAATAAATACAATTATGTATCCTGATAGCAAATACACACACTTCATTTACCGTAAGTTACATTTTACTTCACTTCACTTCTAAGCGCCTTTTGTATTTTAGCATACAATGTGTATACTAAGAGAAATCCCAAAATAGTTTATTTATTGTTTATTCACCACTTAAGTGATTGAAGATGGCACCTCTATAAGCTTTTGCTGATACTTTTATCCCAATGGCTGAGCTGCCTAGCTCCTACCCAAACCACAAATTCTTGACTTGACAAAATTCTGTAAGCCAAAATTTCATATTTTCTCAGGTTTGTTAACGACCTACGGATAGAAGGAGGGAAACAACAGAGGGGAAAGTAAGATTAGAGCTCACCTCCAGTCTGGTGCGGTCTACATCTCTGGGAAGCTTCACTTTCACTCTATGCGTCACTGCCAGCATTTCATAAGGGTAGACCTGGCAACACAAAGTAAGCATTGTGGGAGATTTATTAGGGAATACAATTATAATCCAATGTCCTAACAGTGCTGCCAAGAATATGAAAGTATATTTGCAAAGTGGGAGCAAACTCTTACCTTGTACTCTGAGGAGGGAAAAGACAGAGACAGAAGACATTACTCTGGTGGAACAGTTATCTTTTATTTGAATTCAGAGCTATTATAAAAGCTAGCATAAGTGAGCTTAAAAATAAATTACACTTGTGAACCCAAATCTCTTCAAAAATATTGGGTTTCAAAGGCGTCAAAAAGCATTAGAAATGGTCGCTCTGCTCACACACACAGACTGTTATGAGGTTGGAATACTTTCACCTCAATCTTTGCCTCAGATACAGCCAAGACCGTACACGCACGCACTGGTAAACACACAGCACTAATTTTTCGAGCTGGAAAAATGACATCATCCTTCCTCGCTCTTACTTCTTGTAACTGATCTGGAGCCAAAGCAACAGGGCTCTGCATGCTTGATCGCAACATATATGTAATGTTATCAGGCATTGTAAAAATAACCTTGATCTGACTCATAGAAAGATGATATGGTCCATTTAGTGTCATTTTATAGCTTGGCTAATATTTTTTAGAAGGAAACATTCAGTTTTGGGGATGGAGCCTGTGAGATTTTGCAACAGTGAATTAGCAACGTGAAAACTGCATTTAAAACAATCAGATAACGCGCATTTAGTAGGGTTAGGTTAATTGGTTAACTTGTGAATAGTGATTGTCTGGCTGTCTGTATTAGCCCTGCAACAGACCCTGTTCAGGGTGTGACCTGCCTCTTGCCCTATGGAGGATGGGATAGGCTCCCAACAACCCCCACGTCCACTGTCTCCACCTACATGCTGTTCTCATGTAAGAGAACAACTACAATACCGAAATTCTATTTTAGGTGAATCATCTAGTAATCAGATGACACTTCCTTAACACCTTTATTTAAAAAGTTTTTAAATTCCCAAAGCCAGGCTGTATTCAAAAGCAGATTTACAAGTTAATGAATGCACTCTTTACAGGAAAGAAGATTTTGAATTTATTTCTAAATTAGTCCTCAAAGTTAAAATAGCAAGTTTCAGCTTCACTCAGATGTTATTAACTGTCAAAAACAGGGAAAATAAATTTTCATAAATTTGCCAGGATGACTCGCTGGTTGTTTTTTTCAAGCAAAACTCAGATAATTTATGTGGTTCCCCAAACTTAGAGGATAGAAAGCATATTAAACGTGTTAATGAACAGACTGAGAATACCAACAGAGACCAAGAGACACCTTGGTATTTTCCATGCTGATGCTAAGCTAGCCCTAGACTGTAAAGAGGATGTTGAGCTGTAGCCTGGTCAGAATGAGTAAGGTGAGAAAGGTGAGAGAACTGTCATACTACTAACCCCTTCCAGTATGGTAGTCTTGGTTGGTATATGATCGTGCATGGTTAAAAAAGACACTATAGACTGCACTGGGTGTAATGTGCTATGCTGTATATGAGTGTTTTGCTGATAAAACCTTTAAAAACTTGATGAGAACTGAAGATACATGTCCGCTCTCACCTCTCATGCCTCCCCAGCTCTGGGAGTCTGGGTCCACTTCATCCTCCATCATCTCAGCAGCCTGCGGGCACACACACATTAAACAAACACAGAGTTAGACCATAATTCAGATATTCTGTGTCATTCCGCCAAGAACACTGCTGCTCTTTATCAAAGCAAGGGTTCATCTGAAAGCCTTTTAGTAAAAGCTGTTGCCCTTGATTTGCTCACATTCTTTCAGAGTTAGCAACGGGAAGTGGATGTGACACGTCTGATAGGGAGTTTGGATTACATTGCTCAGAGAGACTGAAAGCCAACTGATGAGACAAGGAGGGACCGATATTGTAAAGTCTCTGCTGTTTGTCCAGTAATCCATTTTCTAGTGTTAAAACTAGTGAAAAACAAATACTATTCTTTAAAATAAGAAAAACAATTTTTGAAAATAAATCGGTATTCATGGAGCTGAACTGGCAGGGATATTGATATACGATATACACATAAGTGGTAACTGGTGTGAAATGTGAGTGTGAATGGTTGTCTATCTCACTGTAGTAGCCCTGCAACACACAAGCTAAGGGCAGACCACACCATCTAACATCTGACACAAGTAACTAGTTAATTAGCTATCTTGCCTGCCAGGAAGCTAATGGTTCCATGTTAAATTTGTCTCCATGCAACAACATGAAATGCAATATATGCCCTACCATCATGCTTGCAAAGTGGAAAAATATGGTATGGTAGCTAGAAAACTAATATACAGTGTACAGAGAATTTCTTGGTGTCTGTAACTAAACCAAGAGTCAGCCTAAACATCTGAGAAATCAAGCCAAGACAGTATTGCTTGAAGTATCTGGCAGTTCCTAAAATGACCAATTGAGACTCGCTCCAAAGCACAAAGTCTTAAAACTATCATTTAGGAATTATGGTCCAAGGAAAGAGACAAGCAGCCCAAGCATTTACTCAGCCTCTAAAGGTTCCCACCCTGATCTCATTGGGATGTGCCGTAAGACGCCTAATCTATCACTATTAGCTCCCTTGGTACCAGACATCAAAGGTCAACCTCTCCAGGTCTCAAGTTCATTCCTCAACAAGTCAGATCTATTTAGCTACATAAGTAGTGTCCACATAATATTTGGCATGTAGCTTAGTTAAAGATCAGTCTTTTGTCTCATAAAAAACTCTACAGAGGAATATAAAAGCTATATTCCCATAATGCAACGTACAGATGCCAAGATGCTTCTATCTTGCCAGGATATTGAAACTCCTTGGATGCTTTGCATTAGCTTACTATGGTCTGTCAAAGATGATTAGAGTATGACAGGTAACTATTAAATATTCAGTATTGGAATTCCTATCCTCTCTCCTGAATGCTTTGATATCATGAAATCTTTCCTACTTATGTGTCACCTCTTTTATGTGCATTATGTTCCCGAGAGAGGTTTGTGTACAGTGAGCATTGTATCCCAGCTGTTCTCTACCAACAAGACGATATCATCATTAGAACAAACTTCATTGCCATTCTGTGATCCTGGGGTCACTAGTCTGTGTTAATGGTGTTATTACTACCATTGGCTGTTTATGCAACTGCAGGTAGTTCAGGTTTACCATCCCCAAGAGCCTCAACTACCTTTATTTCTGAGCTATCCGGTTATTCAGTCTGACGTCACTAGCCGTGTCTGGGCCTAAACTCTGCTGCAGGTCCATATATCAAACAATCACTATGGCATTACTGAGAGTTGAAAAACTGTCTAAAGTCTTTCATCTTTAATAAAATGATCAGCGTTCTGCTCTACCAGGTGTAACAACTGAGTTTAACATCCAGGCATCCATGAAAATGGAATTTATGACATTTAACGGAGTTAGAAGTTAGCAGGAAGTTAGCTCGCTAGCTTCCATCTAAATACAATATAGCATGTCCTGACTGCGGGGTTTTGGAAACAAATTCAAACGTACAGCTTTCTTATCACTTCCAACATAAATGAAGACAGAAAACTAAACAGCAGTGACGTTTGTAGGGTTACTGAAGTTTGGCTAGCTGGTATATAATGATGTGCTATGTGACCGCTAGCGACACAGCTATGTTAGCATAATATAAACAAGCTAACTTTTTTTCCACTCGATAAAAGTTAACATGAGTGTTCTCGGTGGTCAGGAACAAATGTAATCGCATGGCAGGATGCTGTAAAAGGACCAAACTTCAGCCAGGAGAACAACTGAGATAATCCATCCACAATACGAGGTTAGTCATTCATATACTGCTGCATGGGCTGTGCTGTAGTTACATCGTAAGGTTTTAAAAACTGAGCTTAAATAAATGATTAGCGGTAATAAAAGCCGAGGGAGGTCAACAGGGATCACTGACTGTTTTAGGAGCTTTTTGAGATTAAATAGAAGAAAATACATAACATTAAACATGTTAACAACACAAAAGCCATATTAAACGCAGACTACTTTAGACCCGGAAGTAGGATTCGTCACGTCATCACTTAATAATCGGATTCTTTGTCCCTTGTGTCCCTCTACACTCCTTGGGGATTGTCCATACTGACTCTCACAGCTCCCCCTTTTCTGCAGAATTTTTGTTACTGTTAGACTGCTTCAACATCACTCAGCATGTTAAAGACACCACGCTCGGACCAGAGGTAACTTCGTCAGACTTGCACTGTTGTTAACCCTGCCAGCTGCAATCATCATGCATTTTTTTCTCTGTTCTTATAACTCTGTGCAGGCAGTGTGTCAAGCGTACCATCTCATCCAAGTCTCTTTATACATCTGGCCTCACTGTGCACCACTAAACTCTCCAATCAGCCGATGATAGTAAGTCTCATTCACTTGATTGTACTTGTAGCACACTAGATCCACCATGTTAACAATAATTTCAGCATGTGAAAAATAGTTCAATATAGTTTGCCATGACTCTATTGTGGCTCTTGAGCTTTCATTTCCTCTTCTGTTCTGTTTTGTCTGCCTGTCCTCTATCCATCAACAAACATCGAGGGAGAGCAGCTATATTGCATCAGTGGCTCATAGACTACCCCCAAAGTCCTAAATAAACCAGAGCACTGCCTGTGTGGACTGAATGGTACTGACTGGCCCTGTGAAATTTGATACCAAAGCTGTGGGGAAAGGGAGGTTGATTTTTAAGGTAGAGCAAAACATTTAAATGGTTTATATGCTACTCTGAGGTTTCCTGAGTTGATTAGTAGTGAGTGGGAGGCTATACAAGGCTGGAAAGTGTTGGTTTGATAGAGCCATGGTGTTATCACATAGAAATGGAGACCCTGAATGGGAAACAGCACCAGCTAGTGGTCTAAATGGCAAAAGCTGTCAGATCCAGACATCTATTTGTTCTATATTTGCTCAATTAAACTATAGTAGAAACAGGATGGCAACTTCATTGCAAGTAGGAGCCATTGTTGGTACTGATTTGAATGCATTTTTTCAAATCTGGTCACTGATCACAAGTAGTTGTGGTGACTGCAATGTGAAGTGTTTGCCAGGTTGCCTGGTAGAAGGCAAGTTGTCTCTAAACAACTATGCTCCGACTTGAGCCGACTGCAGTCAGTATCAGAACCATTGACAAGGTTTTGAAAATTACTGCTTTAATTTAAAAACACAAACAGAATTCCAACACGTTATAGTTAATCTGAGTCATTCTGTGCCAGTAAGCGCAGCTTGTCTGTTTTACCTCTCTTTGCCAGAGTGGACTTGAGTCAGCTGGTATTCCTACATACAAGCAAAGTCTGTCATTTCACAGTTACTGTCACTATTTGCGAAGGAAATTCTGTTTCAGATCTGTGAAAATTTCACTGATCACTGAACGTAAGTAGTTAATGTGAATTTGTGTGCATGAAATTTGCAACAGACGGTAAAATATTTGTGATTTTTGCTGATTTATCCCAGTCACCATAGTGAGGCACAAAAATAGCTTTGAAGACAGCAATGACTGCGAGTGGTCACAAACCTGGTCTCCATTTTCGAAGTAACCACTTGAAAGGCAACAAAACTGCAAGTGTATTGCACATTGCCACAGTAATTCTGGTCATGCTCCAGTCTCCAATCACTGTTTTCCCTAGTGCGACTGTAGCGTTAATGAAGCACCAAACTATGGTGAGGACATCTCATCTGTAAATGTGAATTGGTTTGGTGCTAGGCATTAACCGTTAACTGTTCAGTGTTCAGAGTTTCCAGTGCTACGTCTCAGTAACACAGGTCCTGTTAAAAAATTAAACCTGACTTTCTTAGACACTTTTAAAATAAGATCTTTGGCTGATCTACCAAAGATCTGAGATTGTGCATCTTGGTGGCCATTCTATATCAGAATCTGTCTGCTCACCTTGTAGATGCCGTTTCTTCCATAGCCAGGTAAAGATGCAGACTTATTGTAAGGGAAATCTAAAAAAAAGCAAAGACAATTATTTTCATTTATGTCAGCTCTAGTTCAGCATCTGGCTTGTTAATAGATACTCACTAGGTTGGGAAGTGTCAGTGGGCAGACTGCAGGTTGATTTGCGGGGGTCGATGTCAATCTGACCATCAATCTCACTCTTCAAAATCATCCAACTGGTCCTCTACAAGGAGAAAGTAAGAGACAGAGAGAAAAGGACAGAAAGATGGAAAGAGGTGATGGATGATGGCAAAGTATGAGTTAGTAAATTAGTGAATGGATGTACAACATTTGTAAAGTTTAAGAAAATGACTTGAAGAGAGACAGATATGGAAAGACGGATAAAGACAGAAACTGTACACACAGACCCACCTTGCTATCCTCACCATCCTGCCAAGATGTTCTAGAAGCTGTAAAACAGTCAGATGTTACATGACGTGACAGTTAATGTGCTGGATTATCTCTCTCTTGGCTCCCTTGTGCTGCACTATTAACACCAATAGTAATCCCTGGACCCCTTGCATGACATCATCGGCCACAGAGAGCATCCACAGGGAGCTCCACAAGCACAATGTTACAAAAATGGAGAAAATTCATACTTTAACTAAAGGATTACACTGTACACCGTGGGACATTGGCTTGTTGGCCATCTACAAGTCTAGTCACCATAAAACTCTGTATGTATATCCCTTGTCTCACGAGGATAGATAGAAATGGCTAGATCTGACCCCCAAAAGCATTTCTTTTACATTTATAACCAGTTTGCTAAATGACAGATGACCATGAACTCTCCTGTGAATCATTACTGTGCCAGAAGAGAATCGTAATGTTGCTTTGACAATCTATCTTACTCAAGAACCAAACTTCAGCTTTCAAATTTATGTGTCAATGGCCAAGGGCAACAATTTCCTCTAAAGAATCAACTCTTTGTATTTGGTGAATTTAATTTTCCAGTCCTGTAGTTAATACTGAAATAAATAAACCGTCATCTGGAAGCAAAACACAAAGTGCAACATTATTTTATTACTTTTACTTATAAGTAATAGTATTGTTATATACTTATCCTTAATCTCTCTGTTAACGATTTCACAATTCTGAAAAAAGCAACGCCGAATAGCAAAACTTTCAACATGACCTCTGTCAGAAAGGGCTTGGGACCAATTGGCAACCTCCTGGCAATCACAGATTGCTTGGGAAAAATATCTATTGGAGAATAGTTAGTGGAGGCTGCTGTTAGAGACTCAAAAACAGGTGCAACACAAACCAGAATCAAAAGAACTTCGCAGTAAAAGTTAAAACTGTGACGCACAACTTTTACTCTAAAGGCAAACATTCTCTTTTTATTATTTGCGTCACACTTATTATCTCTGCGCTAGTGTTTTCATAAAATTTCATCTTGGTTGGCAGGGCCATAAAAGATGGTATCTAAGCCAGTGTGACTGAGGTCATAGTGAGGAACAGGCTAGTAGCTGTTTTATTAGAATGCATTGCAACACAAGACAATTTCAGGAGTATAGGCACTTGATAGCCCAATGCAGTGTTAATTAATGTACATCTTCAGGTTGTGGGGCCAAGAGAAACTAAAGCTTAAAATGTGTTGGTCACAGCCTTGTTGTAAACTTATCATATTAGCATGTGGAGCTATTTGTGATGTTTCTGACATACTGACATTATGATGTTAAGTGAATTCATACGCAAGAGTGTGTAAAACATTAAAACTTTAGAGATGACCCCTAAAAAATCTGGATCCAATTCCCACAAAGTAGGTGTAGCCCACTGAAAATGAACTTAAGCTAAAACACATCACACGTTTAAAGGCAGTTAGGAGATCAGTAAAGTTGTTTTTCTTTTTTTGGCAAACAGTACACTTTGTCAGTGATCTAATGTCTGCTGGAATGCTTCCAATCTAGCTGTCAAAAGCCAGCTCAGTTGATTTACATGTCACTGTTACTTGTTGATAGTGATGATGATATCCTTGTGTGGTAGTGGTGACATTAGCTCCTTGGAGTCCCGTGTTCATGCATTTTGGGTGACCCTGTGAAGTTAGACTAGATTTCCTAAAGTATGCAACATAGTCTAGGGTTACTAGAAGTGTAGACCAAAAATATAATTTAGGTACACAACACAATGATTAGGGTAGAGACACACAGAGACACGTCACCATACTAACCGAACAGACTAACACAACATGATTCATGTGCCTGACCATTCACAGTGTACACACAGTTACAGCATCACCAATGAAACCAACCAATGAGCTGGTGGAATGAGTGCACACATGCAGGAACAGGATGAGCAAAAAACACCCATGGGCCCAAATCCCAAACAGCTCCACTCCCACATAGTTTGGATTAGGAAGATGAATAATCAATGTTTCACTGTGTGAGATATTGAAATTAGGGGTATTTCTAAAATTGGTAAAAAAAATAAATTATAACATTGTGAAACAATGTTACCTACAGACCCCAAACGAGAGATAACCTGACATATACTGAACAATGTTGATTTAGCAAATGTGTATATATGTTTGATCGGGACTCCCCGATATTTAACCAGAGATGGGCAGTAACGTGTAACCCAATTACTTTTTTCAAGTAACGAGTAAAGTAAGGGATTACTACTACTGTTACTTTCCCCTAAGCATGCTGCATTACTGCGTCACTAAACTGTGAGTTTGTTTGTGAGAGTGTCTCATGACAATGATGCACGAACATGCAACGTCCGTGGTAACAGACGTGCGCAGATCAACAATGGAGTGCGTGGAAGTACTGATATTACTGAGTTTGATTTCGTGAAAAGTGACAAAAACATTAGTGTACACTCTGCGTGGGAAGAAAACCTCTTTCTACAGCGAAAAATTAAACTTCAAATCTGAGCGAGGACCAAGCACGCTGCCACGGGAATGTGAAATTCAGAGAGAAATCCCCGGATCCCCCCACTGACATGACTCCTGCTAAACAGCCACCACTGGGGTGGCTGTAGCTCAGGTGGCAGAGCAGGTCAGCCACTAATCAGAAGGTCGGTGGTTCGATCCCAGGCTGCATCCTGGCTGCATGCCAAATATAGCTTGCCATCGCCAGTGTGTGAATGTGTGTGTGAATGGGTGAATGACTGAATGTAGTGTAAAGCGCTTTGGGTTCCTATGGACTAGAAAAGCGCTATACAAATGCAGGCCATTTACCATTTAAACAGATGAAAATTGATTTAGGAGCGACAGGACTCTTTGATTGATTTATTTTTTTGCTGTGTTTTACTTGCATCTATTTGAAAGAGTGAGTATAAACATAAAAAATTATTTTATTTTATATGTTGTAATATGCAGAAAATAGGTTTAAATGTTAAACTAATTTCTTCCAGTCAAAGACTGTTGATTATATTTTTTTCTTAATGCAATGTGCATAAAGTTAAAAGATTAAAACTAATAAAACAATTTTTAAAAATACATTTTTTTATTTGACTCCGTTATATATGATGGATTATGTAGAGAAAGTAGAATTGGACTGAAAGGTCTTTTGCTTTATTACCTATTCAGAGTGTTTATTTTTTTTTAAAGTAACTAAGTAAGTAAATAAGTAGTAAAGTAACTAATCACTTTTTTCAAGTAACTTGACCAACACTGTATTTAACATACTCTATCCTTTAGGTGCCAGTACCATCATTAAATGGGATAGTTCCCAAAAGCCTGCGGTAAATGATTTCGTTAACAGTGAACACAAGTCATAGAAGTTTTTAAGCAATTTTAGGCAAACATGTTAGCATATTCTGAAACGCTGGCTAACATAGAGAGGTACATTAAATACTTGTTTCTCCTTAAAGGAACAAAAAGTAACAGAATAATGGAGAAAGGCATTCAAACTATATAGAAACTAAACAGTGAATATCCAGAATAATAAATTATCCTAAATCATACATTTCATTTTTTGTTTGACATTTCAGCAGGAATTTTATCTGTTGTGTTGCAATGAAATGCAAACTGCACTGTTCATGACCAGAGATGGGCAGTAACGCGTTACTGTAATCTGATTACTTTTTTCAAGTAACGAGTAAAGTAAGGGATTACTATTGCAAAAACGGTAGTTAGATTACCGTTACTTTCCCGTAGGAACGCTGCGTTACTGCGTTACTAATTTTAGCAAGAATGTCTAACGACAGAGACGTAAGCGAGTGCGCTGTTAGTGACAACAGCTGTGTGCAGATCAACAATGGATCATATATCGAGTGCGGGAGAGAGTATGAGCGTGCAGCGTTTAAAGCGTGGAAGTACTGACCTTACTTTGAGTTTGATTCCATAAAAAGTGACAAAAACATTAGTGTCCATCGTGCGTGGGAAGAAAACTTCTTTTTACAGTGAAAAAAAAACCCCAAACTTCCAAGCAAGCACTGAGTGCGCAATGACGTAATGGGAAACTCACAGAGAAACTCGCGGATTCTTCCACTGACCGCTGCGGCACACCTGCACCAGGGTAAACCTCCGGCTACCCAACTCCTGCTTTACAGGTGAAAATAGAGCAACAGGACCACTGAGTCTTTGACTTTATTTATTTTCTGCTGTGTTTTACTTGCATCTATTTGAAAGACTGAGTGTAAACACAAAAAATATTTTATTTTATGTGCTGGAATATGCAGAAAATAGGTTTAAATGTTAAACTAATTTATTCAAGTCAGAGAATGTTGCATATAATTAAATTTTTGCTTGATGCATAAAGTTAAAAGATTAAAACTAATAAAACAAGTTTTAAAAAAGGAGACTTTTCAATTTGATTACATTTTGTATGATGGATTATGTAGAAAATGTAGAATTGGGCTGAAAGATCTATCGCTTTATCACCTCTTCAGGTTGTAAATCGTGTTTTTAAAAAGTAACTAAGTAACTAAGTAATTAATTACTTTTGAAAATAAGTAATCAGTAAAGTAACAGGATTACTTTTTTTGGGGAAGTAATCAGTAATTAGTTACTGATTACTTTTTTCAAGTAACTTGACCAACACTGTTCATGACACACTGCTTGGATTACAGGAATTCTCTGGGATCCACTGCAATATTCTGCATCTGTAAGCCTTTAAACTAAGAGATGTGTCATCCACACCTTTACACTGCAGAATATCCGATTGGGTTTTAGTAAAAGCAAGGCCATCTGCTCTCAGAGAAGGGTCACACTGTAGGTAGCATCATGTAACTCACACCTAAAATGTTTGATCAGAAACTTTGAGGTTTTTTTAAAATTATTATTATATTTTGTTGTTAAATTGCCATAGCATTGCCCACCATCCAATTGTTCAACAATCATGGATTCTGGGTGAAGTACACCAGTTCTATGCATGTAGATCCATAGAGCCTTCTAGACAAGCGCAGTTCTTAGAACATAAAGGAGGAGAACTGGAATGAATGACACGACTGACGGGCAGCATGCAACACATCGTGCAGAGACCAGACCAGATAAAGAAGCGTTAAGAACGAAGTGGACTGTACCATGCTGTTTGTAGATGGGGGGTTTTCTATAGATATTATCTTTGACCATAGTCTCTGAAGATGGGAACAGAGCAGAAGAAAGAAAATGGAAGAAGCCAACATGGGCAGGGTAGAGAAAGAAAGAGAAAATGGAGAAAAAGAAGCATGAGTTAGCAGTTATTGCGGGATGAGATATATTTAAGAAGCAAACGGGGGAACAGGAAAGCTGATTCAACACAAGTCATTTGTCATTTTCATTTTGGCACCTCAAATAAATCAGCAATTTTAAATTCATGCAACATATTCAAAACACATAAATTTATTGGGAATGGCGGGTCATTTGATGCAGAACAATTGAATGATACTGAAAGATTAAAATCAGCAGCCACACATAATCCTCTGGCATCAAAAAGTCCACTTGTATTAGCAGATTTGAGAAAATGTCAAATAAAATCATTAAAAAATGGCATCTAAATTAATAACATAAACATTAAACATAAGCCCAAAGTTGAAGGTTTGTTCAAGAATTGTTGCAAACACTGCAGTGCTCGATAAAGGACCTCTGCAGAATGATGAGGACTGTGTGTTATCCCCTAAAGCTGATCTAATCCATCTTAGTGTCAGTGAACCTGTCTAGGCCTCTGATGGAGATGCTTAGTAACGACTGTCACACATTAAGACACGGCAGAAACAGGACTCACAATAAAACAACAGATGCTGGTCATTTCTCTGGATTGTTTCAGTGCCTGTCAGCATTTGAAACAATATCCATATAAAAGCAATGACTGTGAAAGCCATGAAGTGGATAACTTGCTTCCAGCATGAGGGGTTTTTCCCCCCTTCTCCATGACTGACAGTATAATTGACAATGGGAATTATTTTTCCATTTCCCTCTTTGAGAAACAGCGAGGACAACACAGTTAAAATGTTACTGCTTTTCCAAATGTTGGGCTCTTGTGTCACTGCTGTTTGATTATTTCTGTGCAGTTATTCTGAAATTAGTAAACAGTAAGAACACTGTGAATTAAAGTCCAAGAGCCTAACAGAACATAAAGAAGTAATGTGCTAAAATAGTCTGCATGAAAAAACCATAATAATCCTGTGAAAATTATAATTAGTGTCTCTCTTATGAGTAAGAAGAATCTTGCCAATGTTACCAATTGCCTGGTCCTCAAAGCCTTCCGTCCAGGTAAAGACAAACTTTCCTCTGCTGTGATGGCATAGTTATTTACTGGTGGCATTCATCAAGCTGATTCGGGCCATTTAGAAGAACCCACTGGCTTAATAGAGACACTGATACTTGTTCAAATAATAATTGAGCTCTATGTCTTTGATCTTCTTAATAGTGTCAAAAGCTTTTCTGTGCAAATTACTGGAAAGAAATTGCATCAATTAATTTCATTTTATATAACTAAATAAATAAATAAATAAATGAATAAGACAAACTAGACACCCAAAGTGTGTGAATTCCACTGGCTGAGATTTTAACTTTGCTGCAGTTAATCTAACCTGCACCTAAGTTCACAACAGATTATTACAGCAAGTTTAGTTTAGTTTAGTTTGATCAGGATTCTATAATGGCTACAGTTAATGATGGCCTATTGTTTAAAGCGGTATGATGTGAAAATTGTAGGCTGAGCTGTGAGCTAAGCAGTCCTGTATGGCCTACCTGGTATGTGGAAATGCCGGGGAGCAGCCACGTATGTAGAAGTAGATGAGGGAGATTTGCCATCGGAATAGGTGGATAAGCTGGGGGTACTCCGACCGCTTTCACTACCTCCAAACGTGGAGGGCATTGAGTATGGAAGACAAAGGGGAAAGGTTTTGGGAAAGGAAGGGGAAAAAAAGGGAAGGGGGGTGGGGGGCAGAAAACAGTATTATGGTAAGGTTACTTATACAGCTCAGACATGCAGCTATTACTATAATACCTTATCCAGTGACTTGATAACCCAGCCATTTACAGTGTCTGTATTCATTATATCCTGAATAATCAAATTTTTGTGGGATGTTATTTGGGTCTTCTACCTGCTAAGTGATGAGATTTATAAATAATTCTTGCTAGCACTTTAATGTTAAATAATCTTACACTATGTTGTTCATCAGCCCAAATGAGATATTTTTAGATATTTACTGGGATTCCCAGGCACAGGAAGACACTTTCCTTTCAAAGTATCATTAAGAAGCTAAATGCAAAGTAGAGTTTCAGATGCTCATTTATCTTAGGCCACTTACATCTCAGCCTGTAGGATTCAGATTGGCATTTTCTATTACTCTTTTTTCAGTCTTACTGCCAGCTTTACGCTACATGTCAAATTTACCTCGCATAAAGACATTAATACAAAACGTTATTAATTCAAGAGTTTTCTTTAAAGTATGTCAACGTATGAGGCCAGTTAAAAGTACCAATTGTGGGATGTCCACAGAGTTCTTTACATGTCTGCCATGTCAGAATGTGACATGGCAGACATGTAAAGATGTCGTCTTAATGTGCGAGCCGCACATTAAGATAGAAAAGGCCTCTTGCAACTCTGCACAGGACAGCAGGAACTTGTTTTTAGTTTGTTTATTCCGTAGAAGTCATTATTGAAAACCAATCAAGCGATTTACTTGGAACATATAAAGCCGTCGGAGTTGTCAACCCTATGCTACTCTGTGGTTTCAGAAAGTCCTCCGAAATGTTTGGAAACAGCTGTTGAAAAGCTTCTACCACACATCTACTACAAATCTTTGTTTGAATTATAAGTGACCTTATTATTGTAGGGTCTTTACCTTATAATATAAATGTAAAAAAGACAATAAAAATCAGTATCATAGCACACCTGAAGGGCGGATGACCTCTCATCACGTAACATTTTCCATGTGCTAAGTGTAACAATGTGACATGAATTTTGCTGACTGCATGCATATGGGTGCTGCGTAACCAGGGCACACCCACTGTTACAACACAAGCAGGCTGGGTGATGGAGTCACTGACAACAGTGAAGCCAAAAGTAATAAACACTCTACATCCAGAGCTTTGAGGAAGAACTGAGACTGTGTCTCTGTGTGAGAGTGTTAGCTGACTGAACACACACACTCATCTCCCCTTAGACACAGAGGAATTATCGTCAGGGATCTGGATGCAAGTGGATGAGATCACTGTCACGCAAGTCTAAGTGGATCCCCTTCACACACTTAAACACACACATACACACAATAGTACTGTTAGTGCGGGTCTAAATGTAGGGCAGAACATCCATACAAACATCTGGAGCTAAGACACGAGGCTAAGAGAGTTTGGGAGGAGATGCATTACAGTTTATCTGAACAGATTACACAATGGCAAAGTCATTCATTAATCAAAAACCAATAACACAAAACAAGATATAAAAGATGGCTTGGGATCATTAACAAGGAATCTGGGGATTAAAACGAAAACATGCATTTTTCATCCTTACAAGGTTCTTTCCTAAATATCCTTCATCAGTGTCACTTCATTTCAAAACACTTTTTGCCCCATAGGGGCCAATCTGCAGAGCAAAACATCTGGATAACTTGAGTGCAGCTGACAGCAAGTCTTAATACTACAATAAAACATCATTAAAACACAAGTCTGTTGCATTCGTTGTACTCTGTACAATGACAATAAAGGCTATTCTATTCTATAAAGACAAACAGCAGTTCTAAGGCAACACTACGCTGCATGCCACTGCAACTGGAAACCAGATCCCAAATTACAGATCAGTCTGCTTGGTCTGTTTCATTTCTGTGTTACTCCTCTCTTTCATCTTCCCCATAAAAGAGTCCCCATCTCACCCTCTTCACCCCACTGTGAAAAAAACCCCCCATGGCCCAAGTGCTCGTGGTTTTCTGTGCAAAATGTGTCTCCACCTCTTAAATCACTCTACAAGTAATCTTCAAATTGCATTAAAAATTAAAACTACTAAGCAAATATTTGAGCTTAATAGTCCTTGTGCAGCCTTTTGAAGGAGTGGGCATTTGTGACCTTGCATGCCCTTCAGCCATCAGTAAACTAGGCTCTCTCTGATAGTGCTAAATGCTGAAACGACTGGAAAGGTCAAACTCATAATGCCATTTTACAAGAGTTTTCTCAAGCTTAAATTTATATAGTTCTAAAAAATTATTAGCAGCTTATCTAATTATCCATTTATTTACCCATTAAACAAATATGGATGTGCTCATAAAACTACGTTTAAAACAGCAGCCAAATGCAGCCCAAGGCATAAGCAGACAACACTGCTAACATGAGTTTTAATGTTCATATTATTGGGTGGAGCAGGTACAGTAGGGCAAAGCTGAAATGGTAAGTTAAGTGGTATATTAATATCAATTCATATATTATTATCTATTGTGGGTGATACATCTTTTGATACACGTGTATGATTGCCTGAAAGTGTCAGGGTGGGAATATCTCTAGACTCCACATTCACTGTGCACTAGTTTGTGTTTATGGTTTTATTGCTGAATCAACTGATTACTGGTGGTATTAAGCCAAGTGTTTTTTTAAAACCGTGTCATGGAACATTTTATTGGGTCCTGTTGCGGAAAAATTGACAACATCTGCAGATGCAATGATATGAAAAAGAAAGTTTTCACAGGGCCTGATGCAGTCCTGTGAAAAACTGAACACACACATGAGCACATGAGCACTTTATCACTATCTTGCATTATTAAGAAAAATGTTGTTCTGCTTCTCTTCACCACTGCTTCTCCTCATTGATGTTTGTGGGCATTTGTTCATGCACAGCTCTCTTAAGATATCTAACAGTTTGAGGTCTGGACTTTCACTGGGCCACTGCAACACCTTGGTTCTTTTCTTTTTCAGCCAATCTGTTGGGATCATTTTCCTGTTGCATGCTGTCCATTATGGCCAGCATCTCCACGTTGATCTCATCTGTCCAAACGATATTGTTCCGGAAGTCTTGTGGTTTGTTCACATGCAACTTTGCAAACCCAAGCCATGCTGGCCTGTTCTTTTTAGAACATCCTTCCAAACAAGCCATACTTGTTTAGTGTTTTCTTATTGTACTATTATGAACTTCAACATGTAACATGTTAAGCAAGACCTATAGAGTCTGTGATGTAGCTCCTGGTGTGTGCGCTCCTTCCACTCCCAGATTGTGGTATTGTGTTAACATATACCTGAATACTACTGAACAATAAACTCCCAGAGCTTTGAGTTTTGGACACACTTGCCAATGACCAACTATTCAAGTGTACGGCATTTGATTAGCAAGCACCAAGCTGCTACTTATCCTCTTAATCCTCTCTGACACAATGTAGATCTCTGACGTACACAATAGACTTTTCCAATGATTCTGTGTTAGGAATTTACCAAATCATCAAGTAAGAAAACCTACATTGTCTTCAAGATTTATATCAAATTCACGGTGATAAAGACTGTATTATGACAATGACAATCATTCAAGAAAAATAGCAGAGTAGATCTAAGATCAAAGCTAGGCAGAACAGACAAGTGCAAAGATGAAATCGCCCTTAACCATTCTCTAAAAGTTAATACCAGATGTATTAGGGTCACAAACAGGTCTACAAGGAGTTAAACCATGCACAACAATAACCACATTCACAGACACAAGTGAACAGGGCAAGCAGAATGAGAAAAAAGGAGCAGTCCTAAAAATATGCCTTGATGCATCCCATGAAACCTGTTAACACCACAATACCAGAACACAACATCACAAAACCTGCTATCCATTCCACTACAGGGAGAGGAAACACAGAGAACAGAACTGCTATTGTCTTTACCGTTAGGAGGAGGTAAACTGAGATGCAGGGATGTCCTAGGTTTAGGGTCAGGTAGGGGGTCCTGTTTGAACCCTGAGAGGTGAGGGAGATCAGGGGATGAAGGAAAGCGAGCTTGTTGAATAAGCCCCCGGGCAGGGGTTACATTATGCGAGGGAAATGTGAAAGGTATTGGTTTGTGATGTTGATTTCAGGGATGTGTGACACTGAAAACCGCATCAGTGGTTTCATGGCTTTAGTTCAAGAATCAGTGAGAATACAGAATGAAAATAAAGTTTCATGAGTGACCCAACATTTACAGCAGTTCACACCAGTATAGTCTATTCCCATTATGGCTCATAAGTCTATGGTAAATCCAGGTCCTCAAAGACACACAGTGAGAGTTTACAGCACACGGTTAAACTGTTGGTAAACCCATGCGAAGTCGGGTCATTGGTCACAGCACTCCATTCTGTAAGACCTTAGATCTTAGTCGAATACAGAGAGGACTGGTTTGCTGCTGAATCACCAGGTTTCCACGCTTCTTTTCGGGCATCTTGGAAACCAGCTTTTGGGACACGTTAAAGCCTCTTTTAAATATTTAAATATATAGATTTTTAGTTGGCTTTTATTTTTATTTTTCTCTTTTTAAAATTTTAGCAGGAATGATTCTAGCAAGTAGTCCATTGTCTGCATTGGACCATGTCTTTAGTCACTAATACCTCTAAAGTAAGGGATATAGTTGTGCTGCTGCAGCATAGCCAGGGTGGTGGGATTTAGGTGTAAAGACAAGCCTGCACTACCACCTGTTGGTGTAGGCGAGTACTTGCCACAACTACCACCACCACTGCTCCCTTCAGCCCCACCAGAATAGTACATGGGTGGGGAGGATGTGTTCCTGGCCCAGGTGGAGGGGTACTTAATGCCCCCCATGAGGGCTGGGGGTAAAGCTTGGCTGCTGTGTCTACCGGCAAGGTATATCTCTGGTCCTAGGTATCCAAGCAAATCACAGGAGAGTACAAAGCATAGGATAAACTTATTAGGATACGAAGTTTCTTTAAAGCCTTTAAATCTGTTTGGAAAAAGGGTAAGAAACCACAAAGTAATATATATATATATATATATATATATATATACACATATGTACATATACATATATACATATATATTACAGAACACAGAAGAAAACAGTTCCTAGGCTTCTCTTATCACTACCTGCAACTACGCTAAACATATGTAATGATTTGATGAAGAGCACACAGGTGGACGCTGGGGTGGTGGAGGGGTTCAAATAGCAAGCAGTGATGCTGTGCAGCAGCATTAACATGTAAGAAAGATGTGTAGCTTAAACAGACCACCAAGTTGGGAGAGTGTGTTTGGTCTATGACGAGAGTAAAGCATGTTACATGTATATGATACAGCACAGCTTGAGATGTTTGACTAAACTAGCTTGGAGGCTTTGATTTTCTAAATAATAAATAAATTTGGTATTTCTGTCAAGTTCTGTCAAGACTATCCCTGCAGTTTTAATGCACTTGTACTTTACTTGATAATGGTGCAAATGCAAGTTTTGTATTGGGACTTTACTTAATTCTGCAGTCGACCGAGTGAAAACAGTGGCACTCTGCAACTTTATTTTTATATAGTAACACAACCAAAAACAACCATTTATAAATTAAAAATAAAAAAGTAGTGCACTCAGTGAGCACCCTCTGTCCTATTATTAGTCTAGTGTGACTGAGCCATAAACTGTTGGATCTAATACAGGTTAAACCTGGACATAATTGGAAAGTAAGACCTTTCAGCTTTTCATAAGGCCACAGTGATGTATGGATTATGGGGTTTTGCTAATACCTGGTCGGCTGTAGTTCTGAGGGGAACGAGACGGGGTGTACCGCCCATAGCCCCCCAGGGAGCTGTTAGAGCTGGGGCTCGATGGCCTCCGTTGACGGGGTGATTTTTCCCCATCACCCTGAATACGCAAACACAGAAGATAAAAACAGAGTGAGTACATTCTATGCACTCAGTCCTTAATTTCAACATCAGAGAAAAAATTTCTAAAATATTAATAGTGAGGCAGCTGAGTTATGTTGCACAAGTCACACCAAGGAGCGAAGATAACATAACGTCAACATAACAGGAGTGAGGAGAAATGTGTGCGCTTATTGTTATGATTAAGAGCAGAACTCATTTCAAATATGTATCAACAAATGGAGCAAATGGTTTGGATGTTTTTCAAACTTTCAAAACAACATGCATGTTCTATTTTAAAAACAAGCTGATTACATATATTTTTATTGCTTATACTAATCCGCCAAGAACTGAAACTGAAAAACTGTGACTCTAAGAAAATGAATCCTGCACTACTGATATTAGCCTTTGGCAGGGAAACCAAAGAGCATGCTTTACTCCAGGCCTCAAGGACCAGTGTCCTGCAGCTTTTAGATGTGTCCTTCATCCAACACAGCTGATTTACCCCCTCAACACATAGTATAATGTTATCATATCTGCACATAATCCAACAATTAAAACACATCCCACAAACCATTTAAAACTGTCAATTACCCTAGAAAACTCTTATGTCCCAAATATGGCAAACAACTTGTTTGTGTCCACAAACACATACACTCACACACAAGCACACAAGAAGGCACTGATGAAGTATGATTTACATCCACATTGAGACACAGTGCATCACATTACCTCAGTAGGAGTAGGAGAAAGCAGCTGGGGAGACTGCAAATGAAAATGGGGAAAGAGCCAATGATTAGGAAAAACTCATATGTGAGAATATATGAGTTAACCAACCAGCAATGAGAGTGGGAGTGAGCAATGATGTCCAAATGCAAGGACATTGCTGATGAGTGAATGAGGAAGTTTACAGTTCGGCTTATAAGGTCAGGGCTGTGAAGCTGTGGCTGAACTGCAGTGTGGCATTAATGAATGACTTCACTGCGATGATGGAGGATGAGGAAGGTGAAGAATAAAACGAAAAGACAGGGAAGAAGCGACACAAGGATTGTTTCTCGCTCAAATTGCATTCATTCACTGGAGTGAGACAGAAAGAAACCTGTGAACAAATCAGTTCTTTAGAGATAAAAGGATGATTGGACGTATTAAATCGTTAGAAAAAAAGACACATTCCTCTGGTTTTCAGTTTAAGTCTGGATATATGCTGCATACATTCAAATTCACCTTAACAAACAATATCAGGACAGAAACACTTGCTCCATATCGCCCATATTTGGCTAGTCTCTGGCTGACACTCATTAACAGTTAAGCAGGTAAGAATGTGTGTAGTGAATTCCGTTTACTCTTGTTACTGTACCAAAGTTATGTTTACTTGCTTTCTGAGCCATTTAAAACCCCTTTAGTTACAATTTTACTGAAACTTAAATTTGTTTTATAGAAGTATTGTTCTACTCTCATAACGGAGTCATGACAAACCATAAGAATTACTAGTGAAAAACTTCATCACAGCAGCGAATGAAAATGGAGTCGGAGTTACCTCTCCATAGTGCCTCTCGTCAGATGGGTAGCTGACATAGGGAGAGTAAGACAACATGTCAGGCCTATCTATGTTATAGATGGCCTTGGTCTTTGGAAGGGCTGCCAGGTCCTTGTAGTCCAGCATTTCCTCTCCTAGCTTGGCCTGGCAGCAGACAGGAGACAGATTTAGTTTTTATTTGCATACTGACACTTGGAGGAGCACAGAGGTACAAAAGTCATCTGTTGCTCCCTTAAGGGTGAATAGAGGTGATGCAGTCTTACATAGATGACTCTGCTGGGAGAGCCCGAGGCGCTGGATGCCGGGACTGAGGTGATGCTCTCTGATGAAGTCCGGGTCACCTGGAACACACACACACAGCAGTTTTAAACACACTGAATTATGACAGGTTAAGAAAGGTGGCATTCATGTAATTACTGCCATCCATTCAACCTCGTGCGTAGTAAGATATTATTAGAGATGGCACGATGCCACTTTTTTATGTCCGATACCGATATCATGAATTGGGATATCTGCCGATACTGATATGAATCCGATATAGTGTGTTTTTAATCAATAAAACAGTTTTTTAATATCTTGCTGCATTTTGTATAAGTTCATACTCAAGTTTAAATAAAAACAAACACTAAAGCTATTCTGTTATACCTGTATGCAAAAAATACACTGCACCCAAAGTATTTCATAGTTCAGCTACACTGATCAATCTAATAAACTTAAACCTGCTCCATCCTCCCTATTCTGGTATTTTAAAGAGTAAGCAACCTAACTAATAGGGTTCTAACCCCCCCCCCCAAAAAAAAAAATAGGGAACCACCCCCCACCCTCCACCTCATGATGCTTAATTGACGTAATCAACTTAAATTTGATGCAGTGTGAAAAAAATGCACAGAAATCAATTATTTTTGAAGAATAATTAAATAGATTCAACATATTTCTATGTACTATAGCTTACTAGGGTATATATATTAGACTTAATAGTTACTATATACAGTAATGGACTTCTATACATTTTACATCAGATTAAATCTTTGGGTGTAAGATTCGGATAATTATTTATTAAAAGCTAGACATTTTAAATGAGAATAAGAAAGAAAAGAATGTCTTTGCCCCCTTTTCCCTGTTCATGCCCTATCGGCCCCCCTGGCTAAACTTTGCTAGATCCGCCCCTGCACAGTTACCAGCCGTCAGCTACGTAGAAAAGGATCCTCGAGTAGAAAGTAACAATAAATAAATTCTAACAACAGCTTATCAAGCTTAAACGTGCTGCTGTTGTTCAGCCGCTGGTTTCCTCTTTCTGGTGAGAAGCACACAAACAAGAGAGACGGACTCGCGACAGAAAAGCCGATCAGCTGATCATTAATCAGTTTCATGATTGAAGTAGCAGCAGGAGAGGGAGGGAGAGAAGAGGCAGTCGCTCCATATATCGTTGTTAAGCTTAACGCTGGAATTCCTTAGAAACATTCAGAGATGAACTTACACATTTGCTTTACTTCTCTCTGGGATAACTTCCTCGGAGATGAAATGCCGGATTGTTAGCGAGGCTACAAAAACACACAGCTGCTCTATCACGTGACGCACACTGCTGCCACGTGCTACGGTTATGAGCAGAGTTACGCCATGTCGCAAGTTTTGTGAGGTGCTTTTTTGATATTTAATGGATCGGATTACATTTTTTATTTCTCTCCGATATCCGATCCAGTAATTTACGTCAGTATCAGACCGATACCCATATGTATACGTATATCATATACATTTTTTTATTATTCAAAGCTGCCCTTTCTTTTCTTTAGGGTAGTAATGTAACAACACAGAAAATCCTATAAACGTCTTATCCTGAATGGCTGCTTCAACTGCTGCACGTTTTTTCATCATTATTGATAAAAAATAGTAAAAACAATCGTCTTCCCAGAGAAGTGTCCTCAAACTCAAACCCCAAAAGTTTTGCATTTACAGTGAAATAAGTCAAGCTAGACCACAGTCGTATCACAGTCATTTTTTAAAAGTACAGCTTTAAACCTTAACATTGTAATAATAAAAAACAGAATTAAAGTCAAAGTCCAATTATATGTCAACTCGCCCATCCATCCAGATCACCTCTCTACAAAAACTGTGCTCCTTTAAGGTTAGAGTTATGCCCAGCTGTGGACATGGACAAGCAGAAAACAGGGATTACTAGTCATTCCTGTTATACTTTTCTCAAGTCTTCTTTAAATCCATCCAACAGCCAATCCGATCCAAGATAAGACTACTCTCCAAGAGAAACCATAACATCTGTAGAATTACATCATGTTAGTCCTGCTTTGTGCCCGTCATAATTTCCATGACCACTAGGGGACACTGTCGTGTCATTATACCGTTGACTAACTGTTACTCTTCAAGTTGCTTGTAATTTGTAAACAGATGGAAATAAGCTCCTCCTTAAACTACCTTTGGGGAACATTTTGTTCGTTTGTTTGATGTACATGGCGTTTACCGTATTGCTGCATTATTGTTCATGCCTTAACAGTCCCAATGGCTTTATATAAATATTGCAAACACTCAAACTTAAAAAACACACTTGAAAGTATAACTGAAAAGATAGTGTTAGACACAACATCTAGAAGATGGCAACAAGAGGGAACTAAACCATGGAGAAGGACGACAGTAATGTTAACCCAATGCTGAATATTTAGCAGACAAATGGTGAACTGTAATTCTCCAACACTGTTTTCATGACAATCAACCTGGTTAAGCCGTATCATACATGAGTGTACGTAAATTGTAACAGTTAGCGTTGATGTTATGATCACACTTCAGACTCAGCCGGTTAGCCTAGCTTAGCATAAAAACTCAAAGCAGGAGTAAAAAGTAAAAAGTTCAAAAATATGCTAAGTATCACTTCTAAAGGTTCTATCAATTTTATTTATATAAAAAGACAGTTTGAGGTGAGTTTGCTAGAGAATCTAAATCTTCTCATCTCCCTTTTTAATTCCACTTCTGCATAACTACATTTTTCTATTATTACAGGGGCATTTAGTTTAACACAAACAATACAAGAACACATTTTAATTCCTCAAAAATTCAAACAGCAAATACCTACTTAACACAGAGAGCGCAGTGCCTGTATTAGTGAAGCTGTACTGGGATCAGTACCGATGATGTTTAAGTCACAAGTTGAATGAGAGAGAGTGAACTTTCCATCATACGGCAAATTAAATATTTGGAGAATCGTAACAGTTGTGTTTGATATTTTTAGCACGCTGAAACAAGACAGAAGCATCCACTCTGTCTGGCCAAGCTGTGTGAGTGTTGCCCTCTATGGATGGCAACACTCACACTGCCACATCAATCCTAATCATAACTGCCCAGGGGACCATTCTGGGTACATGCGCAGACAGATCCTCAGCTTCTTTAGTCACATATGTCAGCTCTGCATAGCACCAGAGTAAGTAACACATGTAACTTTAACACTTTGTGTTGCTGTGACTGCTTCTCAGCATGAAGAAAACGCAGCACTAAGTTGTGAGTTCTAAACAACCCATGCAGCAGATGGTTGTGAGGCGAGGGGAACTGAGTGGGGTTTTGGTTGCGGGGACGTACAGGAGCACCGACCTGCTGCTCGAGGCCGTCACTGAGCTGTATCCGGACCTGCTTCTGGGAAGGAGAGGGGTGACGATGAGGAATGAGGAAGGGAGATGGAGGAAGGGCAGACAATGGCTGATGCAATGCTCAAACCAGAACCTTTTTTTTTTAAACTGACTCAATTACATTTTTCTTTATTTAACTTCAGCTTCACACAGTTTTCTTTTGATGGTGATTCTTGTTATGCATTGTTGTTGGTGACATTTTTGTTTCTGTTATTACTCTATAGTCTGTATAAAATGTTGTACCACTTTAATGACTGAAAGGGACCAGCAACAACAAAAGGAATGACATGAAAATATTCATAGGAATGTTCTTACTGGTGAACATTTTTATTTACAATGAAACAAATTATGAAATGTTCAAGTTTAGAAAGCTAAATGAAAAACTGCCAGATGAGTTGCAAAAATGTTCTAAATTATTATTGTTGTTGTTTTTTATTTCAGTAACTATTGCAGTGGACGCTGGGATGTGTTGGTATCTCTACTTTAGGTATTCGGTCTATTTAGGGGAAAAAAGCAAACTTTAAAAACAAAAAAGAACTTTTTAACAAATATTTGTAATAAAGATTGAACTGTGAACTTGTGGGGATTAAAAAAAAGGCAAAAAGCTCCTGAAACTGCAGTTCAGAAGTTCATGTTAAGAAACCTCAGTGACTGTCTAACACAGACCCAAATTTTTCTCCTGCTCACTATTTCATGTACACAAGAAGGTTGGAGACCTCCATTATAATTTCCTGCGACTATGAAAAATTCAGTTTTTGAAACTGTTTTTTGGGCTCATTGTGATATTCCACTTTCTGTATTAAAAGCAGCTAAACTCATCCACTGACTGTGCTATATTCAGAGGTTTTTCAAACTCTTCCTTTTTAACTTCTGAGGAATTCATGACAAGGGAATATCAGAGCTTTATCTCTTCTGTCAGATATTTACACACATATATATATATATATATATCTGTCAGGACTGCCTTTACCACCCACCTTACTCTTCTCCTCCTGCTTGGCTGCTTGTCTGCATGGAGGATGCCAGATAGACGATCCTGAAGACACAGAGACAAACAGCACCATTTGCACTTTCATGTTGTTGAAAGTGGGTCAAATATTACAAAAATGGTTTAGTTTAATGAACTATTTGATTGATTTAAATCATACAGTATGTCACGACTATAAAATGCCCTGATGAGTCACAGCAGGACTTTGCATGAGAACAGCCAGATCCATGGTGGCTGCAGGCTAAAACCTTCATAAACTGGAGTGACATGTTTTATGCTTTTTAAATCAGAAATAATTGAATTAATTTACTGTCTGCCTTGTGTTAATCACAGCAGCAGCTGACAGAATCTCTGTTACTAAACTAATGTGACTCAAGCACACATGTGCCTGATTTATTCACCAACACATATTGGGTTTATGAAACAGAGTAAAAGAGAAAAGAGAACGTGGTGAACCAAAAAGTGATGTTGCGACTAGAAAATTAGCTCTTATTGCCTAAGAATAGAAAGTAATGTGCTTTAGTCTAATAATAGATCATGGGTTTTAGCACTGGATCCTCTGTGGTTAGGCAGGAAAAACTACACTGCCTATCCTGACAGGTAGGAGCTATAATAAGAGATATGAAGGCTGCTTCTACCTTGCAGGTACATTTCCTCTCCCTCTGCAAACATCTGCTCACACCGGACACAGCGTGCACATGTGGGGTGGTAATGCTTCTCGCCAGCCTGTTGAAGAATGAAAACACATTAGCACACTGCAGCAGTTACAATTTATAATGTCTCCTAAGAAATGCAGACCAAAAAGACACCTTCTAACAAAGCAGACGAGGAATCAATGCATTGCTTTCAGATGGCAACCAGTATGCTTTCAAGCCTGCAGTTTAAATGTTCTTTTCATTCAATGAACGATGTGATTTATTCCCTATGCCTAACACATTCATTGAAAGACCTCTGTGTTAGCATCTATGTTTATATACATAAGCTCTCTTACAAAATGCATAATTACCTCATTATAAATTAGTTGCAAAATGAACATTGAGTTTCAGGAGTGTTGCTGAGCTAAAGCTAAATGAGGGACAAAGGGAAACTGCTTCTGCTAAACTACGAAAATTAGGTTGTTTTATCATTTAGCCACAAGGTGGAGACATTGCCATTCAGACAGAGCACTGCAGGAGTAACACATAAAGTCCTTTTGACAAAAAGGATTTAAAATACATTCATGACATTCAGCTTAATCCTGTATTTATACAAATTCACCCAATACGTTTTCTCCATAAGCACTGTGTATGATGGCCTGTGTGTTAAGCATGGAGCTCCTTGTGTGTTTAGTATGGAGGCAACATGTTATCTCCAGAGCTTGTCAGAATCCACAAAGCGGTGTGATGGGAGGGAGTTGTCACAGTGAGGATGAATGAGTCTGTGATATTGATTTTGAGGCATAGTGTGGATTGTTTCTTGACTTGTGAAACTGCTAGTCTATATGTGACCTGGTCAAGTGTTGGGGACAGTCTGGGTTCATTTTTGGCTGTGGAAGCTGATTTGACTGACGCTGACACTGTGTGCATTGAATCGTTTGGGTAAGTTGTCTGCTTTCTACTTCCATCCCTAAGAGCAAATATTACATTTGGTCAGTGGCTTCCTCAGCAGGAACTCAGAGGGAGTTTTCCTTTTCTTAACAGATTTTTCAAGCTGTTTCGTGGATTCAAACTAGCAAACCTTAAAAAGCATCCCATTCTCTTAAGTTTCACAGTCTTTTGGGTGATTTTCTTAATACCAGATCCTTATTCGGTCTTTTTTTCATGGCAACAAAAACCACCATTACTGAAAGTGAGCAGAATTGTCTCATTCTTGGCAGTTTTTCTTGTCCTAAAACACGTGTGATTTATGGACTCAGTAATAAACAAAACAAGGTGGAGGTTTATTGCAATTGAGTCATTCTTTTGCTCTCCATGCAAAGAGATTTCATCTTGCTGTAACAGCAGTTTGATTACGTACAACACCTCTGAGGCTCCTCCACTTTGCTGCGTCATTCTAATAGGGTAGGATACCAGAAAACAGGATGTCAACATCATATTTCTTGGCTAACACCCTGCTTAATGCTTGTCTCAACCAAATGGACAGCAGATGGAAAGAGGAGGCAACCAGGCACAGAAATGTACTTAAAAAAAGCAAGAAGACTCCAAGTCTAGGTGTTACTGACAGAAAAACAAAAGGCCCTCTGTTTAAAAACTGACAGACGGTGCAGATGCTATGCCAGAAGTTCATATTTGAACTGAAACTGAGAGAAAAGAGGAAGCTGACATAGGAACTCAAAGAACTAAGAAGATAAAAGGCTGGAACAGGATTGAAATTCAAACATGGAAAGTATGAGAGAGGCGGAAAGGAGATAGAACTGCTATCAAATCCTTCCTTTCTCAGCACAGGGAGGATAATGATCTTATTCAGGATCCTGCAGGACTGGCATATCAAGGAAGAAGAGGGGGGCTCAGGAATGGTTTGGAGGGAAGTTGAGACTGAAAGAGCCTAATTTGATTTTTACTTAGGAATGAGGCTGTAGCTGGTCAGCCAGGGTTGAAGTTTGTGGCTGAATCTCATGCAGAGTATGGCTTTAGATAATGGGAGAGCTGCTTTTTATATCTTTGCTACCTACAGTCCATATGTTTTCTCAAAATTATCCTACCTCTAATGCTCTCTCCATTTGCTCATCTCGCAATTCCAGGAACCAGTCAGGTGAGGAATGTGATTCATTTAGAAGGCTGGAATAAATTTGTGGCAGTATGAACACACAGACACACAAACATGGTCTATGGTCTGCAGTCCAGTTGATTGCACATACATCAAGCTCTGTGTTGCATCACAGGTTATTAGAACACAACAGCAATGGGATCTATATGCAGCTCATGATTTTACAGCTCAAAATACTGTAAGAGACAAAAGTACTGGCACGAATGCTGCGTCATCTGATACTGAAATCAAAAGTTTACCTCAGAATATATTCAACTTTAAAGTAAATGGACTGACATCCCAGTCTTACCGACCACTCAAAGTGCTTTAGAATACGAGCACTTCTCATCTACTCATTCATTCAAATACAGAACCTTATTAAAAAGTGACATTCATATCTCCACTGCACCACAAAGTGATCTTGAACACTGAAACCAAATGGTTAAAAAATACTGAAGCCTTGTTTCTGATGTTGAAGGTGTTTCAAACTAACACTGAACTTAATAGTCAGTATGAACAGTGACAGAAATAAAAAAGCCAATGAAGCAAATTAGGCAATGATCAGTAGCACAGATGCTTAAGCAGAAATACTTAATCTCATCAGGTATAGTTTGGGTGTTACATATTGTTTTCCCTCAGCTCAGTAAGTTTAAACCTTTCAATAATGTTTGTGTAGGTTCTTAATCATCCAGGTCATGGCAAGTGCTTAAGTCAAATGAGCTGAACTACCTTGGGCTGCTCATCCAAAATGTTTCTTCATTTCATGTCCTTTCATATTCCTGCATCGGCTAAAGATGCAGAATACAAGACAATATGTCTGCCATCCTGGTTACATATGTTTCAAGTGCTTGACTCAAAGGCATCTAGACTTCTTTTAGGTTCTTGGTTCTTCTTCATCTTTTTGTTTTACTATTCCCAGTATTTCCAGTTACACATCACAGTGTCTACTCTCACTGTTTCACTGACAAAGTGACTGACTAACATCTTGGATGAGAAATAAATGCCGTGACACAAGGAACACCGGGCAACAATAAACATAGCTTCAATTCCATTGCTGCTATCTGCAGTTACTGACTCAGTGCAGTATGACCTCTGTGTGCTCTTTGATCTCAACCAAATGTCACGGCATTTTGAAAGAACAGTCTTTCAGTTACTATTTCAAAGTGCAGCCTTGCACAGCTAGCACGAGACAGCATCATCATTCAACCCTGAATGTTGATGATAAGGCAGTAATAGCCCAGCTAACTATTAGCTAGCTGAAGTTGTCTTTCTATGGTAGATCCTATGGACATTTATAACTTTATTTGCAATTCCACCTCATGCTGCTAACTCTAGCAAAGGTGTTAAAATAAGGATCACAAATGCCATTGTTCTGTCCCACATATCTGATGACACACTTTAAAACATGCACTGCGTCATCACGCTCACCGATGAAGATGAACCAATGGTTTCAGTCAAAGAAAGTGATCATTTGAGGACACTGAGGTGAGAGGCAGGTGACAGTGTGCAATCTGTGCTATAGCTCCATTTCTAAAACATGAGACTCAGTCAGACTGCACTGAATATTCAACAACAGAGCAGATCCTGGCTGCGTGATTCTCTGCCACTATTCTTTTATTTGTTATTGCCGTGTTCCTTCTTCCAGAATGGGGATCATTCCTTCAGCACTTATCAACGCACGCACCGTCTGCATCTGCTGTTGCAATGTCATTAACTTGTGTTACATCATATCACCCCGGAGATTCAACTCCCTGTAGTTTTCATGCAACAATCAGAAGTCTAAGCTTTGGCAAACATTTTATTCTGATATGGGTGTTTGTTTTTGCTGGAGTTATGAAGCTTGTTATGGAACCACAAAAGCAGCACTTCACTTTAGACTACGTGCAGATCAACCTGGATATTAAGAATATGTTTCCTGGAAAGAGACGCACCCTTAACAACTATATGCTCAGTAAATTGTATGCTCAGTAAACACCAGCAATTACAAGAAAACTAACACACAAAATACCTTTGGCTGTTTTAAGGTATGTGGTGTTACTGTAAACCCCCATGACAAGAGGTAATGTATTTGCATTTGCAAATATGATGAATTTTTAATGGTCTCTTTGGGGAAATGAGGTCAGTCCTGGAATCAGTTAAGTGGAAATATGAGCATGAGAAACATGTAAAATGCAACTCGCTGTGTTTTTCTGTAGCCTCTTTCTCTGTCTCCGATCACATACTTACCCACTCTGTTTTAAGCTTATAGGGCGTCGATGGACTGCTGGGGGTTTCTCTCTTTTATATTATAAAACGCACAATAAAGCATCATGAGGCAACTGTTGTTTAAATAAAAGTGAACTGAAATGCACTGAATTCTGCGGGTAAATGAGCTTCCTCCAAAGGGTGACTGGCCTCTCCCTATGAGGAGTTCAGCCATTTGGGAGGGGCTCAGAGTAGAGCCGCTGCTTGATCTGCCTCCTCACCTCAACTGGCTCAGTTGAGGTGAGGAGGCAGATCAAGGACACACTGGAGAGATAATATCTCTTGGCTGGCCTGGGAACGCCTTGGTGTTCCCCCAGACAAGCTGGAGGAAGTGGCCGGGAAGAGGGAGGATGCTGCCCCTGCGACCTGGCCTCGGATAAGCGGAAGAAGATGGATGGATGAATGAGTTAAACTGATCTGAATTGAAAACCAGTCTAAGTAAGCCATTTAATGATGACTTTCTATTAATAATTCTTTAGCTTGTGTACAGGTTCACTGTCTCATACTGAACTTTATCTTAAATATGTGCCCTATGACAGAACTACCCAACAGAAACATCACTACAACGACCTGCAGAATCATATCCTGCAGTTCACACTGGCATACAAACACTGATATCACTCATTTAGATGGCAGTTGTGATTAAGTTGTACTGTCAACTAGAAGCCTCTTGCACTAAGTATAATGTCAACAGTGTAATCTAATAATGCAGCTCTTGGAAGGAACAAGCTTATTTAATAAATTAATTGTCGGGTCACTGAGAATTAGACAAGAAGCGTTTGAACAAAGTAGGAAAAAATACTGCAAGCAATCTGATTTTAAAAAATGAAGGTTATCAGCACATCAGTGCTGTATGGTTGGCCAAGAGAAGGAATGGCCAAGTCTGAGGTTTAACTTCCTATAGCTGTCCTAGAAATACCACCTTACTGATGATTTAACTACTGTGTAAACCAAACACTGAATAAACTGAACCAACATTCTTGGATTAAGTGGGATTATCGATTCAGATTGTTCAGTGTTTTCAACAGTTATTCCTTTTGTGCATTTATATTTACTGTAATTCCATTATTCTTCTCCCCGTGCATGTTCATATAGAGTAGACAACAAGTAAGTTGAACCACATGCTACATGCTAACAGCTAAAAAAGGTTTTGTTCTTAATGGAAGCCAGCAGTGCTGTACCTCAAGGACTTTCCCTGTAATGTACTTCTTACAGCTCTCACACTGGATGCCAAACATGGCGTGGTAGTCCATTTCACAGTAGGGGATCCCGTCCCTGTAAGAATGACACAAGACAAACAAGCAGGTCAGAGATCTGCATCTAGATTAAATCTAAATAACAGCATTAATGAAGTATTATGATAATGAAAGTATATTCAGCCAGACGTACTTGCTGATGTACTCGGCATTGAGCACCTTGTTGCAGACTTTACACTTGAAGCAGCCCAGGTGCCAGTGCTTGTCCAGTGCCACGAGTGACTGTTCATTCTTAAATTCCTTTCCACAGCCGCAGCAGTCTGTACAGAGAACAAAATAACAAAGACTAGGTCAAATTCAAACACTAGAGTTTGCTTTCTTTTAGTGGAAAAGTTCTTTGATTTAACTGAGTTGAAGGGCAAAAGAAACTTTGGACATTTTGTTTTCTATGAGGAAAACACAATTTAGGAAAGTGCCAATTTAAGTGAAGGAACAAACAATCCGAAGTTTACTTATGGCATGAGTTATGCTTTCAAACAGGCAAACAGAGGAGAAAAGCACTGACTGTGGACAGCCTGTATGGGTGCAGGGCTGTTGGCGGGAAGAGGCTGGGTACACTTTTGGCAGATACACTCTTTCCCATTAAATGTCACTCGGTCACCGGCTGGAAATGGCTGTCTACAAACAAAGAGAAAAACAGTAGATGATCAGAGGGGTTTGACAGATACATTACAGTTTGTTCTACTCTGAAATGAAATTTGGTCCATCAGGGTGCATAAAAGGCTCCTCAGAAGGCCCTACAGACCAATCAGTAATATCCTCCAACCCCTGAAAGTATTTTTATGCTGATGACTTTCACCTGTAAGGAGGATCTGTCATCATATCTTTCACAAGAAATGCCAGAGAGCGCTCTAGAAAGTTAGAAATGCTGAGGTCATAAGCCCAAGCTCTAAGCCTACTACTCAAAATATGTAACTAATTATTGTTACATGTTCTGATATAACTTAATGTATTTATTTACTCTTCTCTGCTATTATGACTAAATGCAATCCCCTGAAGACTGATGTAAAACTGGTTTAATAGCCGTTAAAAGGAAAACCTAAATCTTTCAAAAGAATTGTTTATATATTAAGCTTGTCAGCTGTTGTTGGATATTTTTATTGGTTATTTACATCAGGTTCAGTCGTTAACGCATATATTTAGAGACTTGAGACTTAAGTCTCTAAAAACCTGCTGTATTTTCTTTGCCACTATTTACTTAAACAGGTTCTGCCTGACACAGTGGAGATCCTCAAATCCCAGTCATCATGCAGTAATCCAAGGGAATTTAAGAACAAATGAGAAACAAAATAATTGCGATCTCTCAGGCTGGAAAAGGTTATAAAGCCATTTCTAAAGCTGTGGGACTCCATTATCTACAAATGGCGAAAACATGGAACAATGGTGAACGTTCCCAGGAGTGCAGTGACGAAGTCCTCATCCAAAAGGACGCGACCCCAGAACAACATCCAAAGAACTGCAGGCCTCACTTTCCTCAGTTAAGGTCAGTGTTCATGACTCCACCATAGCAAAGAGACTGGGCAAAAATGGCTCCAAGACGAAAACCACTGCTGAGCAAAAGGAACCTAAAAGCTCGTCGCAGTTTTGCCAGAAAGCATCTCGATGAGCCCCAAGACTTTTGGGAAAATACTCAAATGACGAGACAAAAGTTAAACTTTTTGGAAAGTGTGTGTCCCATTACATCTGGTGTAAAAGTAACAGCATTTCAGGAAAGGAACATCATTCCAACAGTAAAATATGGTGCTAGTAGTGTGATGGTCTGGCAGCTGTTTTGCTGCCTCAGGACCTGAAAGACTTGTTGTGATAAATGGAACCATGAATTCATGAATTTTAGACCTCTCTGCATTTAATCACACTTGTTATTAATCTCTGTCTCTCTTCCACAGCATGTCTTTTGTTCTGTCTTCCTTCTCTCACCCCAACCGGTCGCAGCATATTGGCCCCGCCCCTCCCTGAGCCTGGTTCTGCCGGAGGTTTCTTCCTGTTAAAAGGGAGTTTTTCCTTCTCACTGTCGCCAAAGTGCTCGTCCATATGGGCTGATATGACTGTTGGCTTTTTTTCTGTATGTATTATTGTAGGGACTATCTTGCAATATAAAGCACTTTGAGGTGCATGTTGTTGTGATTTGGTGCTGCATAAATAGAATTAAATTAAATTCTGCTTTCTACCTAAACATCCTGAAGGAGAATGACAGGATATCTGTTCATGACCTTAAGCTGAAGTGTACTTGGGTTCTTTTTAGGAGATGTCTTTGTTTTGACATCTCATGTTCAAATCTTTAAATTTCTACTTTTTCTTGTTTGTAATATCTAGTAGGAAATGAAAGAGGTGCAACACGGACACTGGCTTCACTTACAAGCCAAAGACAAATGCCATTATACAGCTAAAGAGTTATTGCAATGACAATGAAACAATGTTAATGTCTGCTGGCTGTTTGTGCAGTCTGCTTCACAAACAGCTGCCGTCATCGAGTCAAATGCAGAGGGAATGATGGATCCTTGGCAGAGCTGGGCTCTGACTTGCTGCCACGTGCAGCTTCCTACAGCTCTGAAATGTGATATTAGGAGCTGCTGTCACACTGACACAGCCAGCTACTGAGGGAGGAAGACATCCTGGCACACTGTGAATGGCTGAGATTAAAGATGACTCATGCATAAATAGACAAAAAGTTATGTCTTCAAACCTTACATTGTGAGTTTTTGTAAGTCTTGCTTACAGTTTAATTCTTGGTATTAGGTTGATGGAAGCATAAAATCTGAAACCCATCAACCCATTTTCCCTCATTGCTATTGGTTTATTACTGCATTAATGTCATCATATTACCATGTTTATGTTAAAATATTACACAAATATCATTTTATCATTTTATTGGTAGCAGGTTACTGTCTAAAATACACTATTTTAGTGACACTAAATGGTTTTGACTCATATGTAATTTTAACTGCCATTCATCCACACCAGCAATGCTTTTTTTCACTCATCATTATATGTTTGAACAGGAGAGTAGCATTTTGTGATTTTTATTTAAAGATGCAAAGACTACCTGCTTACAATACCAGGCTGCAGGACATTATTTTAACATTAGCTGCACCTCCTGTTCACACTCACCTTGGAAAAACTCCAATATAAACACTTAGCTGCCCACATTAAACTTTTAAACCGTTGCATGTGGAGAGACACAGACACATAAAGAAAATCCAGACAGCAAAATGAAAAACAGCTCGATTACTAAATAACTGATGATTGACACAGCCTTTCACTGTGACATACATACGAAAAATATACTAATCACAATATGATGTCTCATTTCACGCAGCACTTGTCCTATTAGCCTCATTTTTATATTGCTCACAAAAGGCCCGTGTGATTTACTATCACAAAGGCACCATTTGTTGTAAGGGAACTCCAAATACCACACTGGAACATTCTGATCTCAGGTTCAGCAACGGGATGACCAAAGTATGATAGGATGAACACACACACACACACACAGAAAACCCACCCCCAGCTCAAAAGACACTTTACACTAGCTGTGGGAATGGGCAAAGTGGCTGCACTGACTGACCACACACTTAAAATTCCTGCCTGCGAGAGGCTTCCATTACCTTTCAGGGCCTGGAAAACAACACTCTCACACAGACACACTATACAGGAGACGCATGCACGTAGATTGAAAAAGGTGAGTGCAACTGTTTGGTGTGCAGTGACACGTGTGTCCTATATTTATACATGTATGTCTATTATAGCTTTATGTGCTTGTAAATGACACCAAGAGAGATGTGCGAAACATATTTATGAGATGTCTCCATCTGTAAAGATCGATTTTGAGTTCTCTTTATAATGGGAGAGTGGAATTCTGAAACACAATATTTCTCCAGTAAATAAGATTTAAAAGTAGTTGACCTGTGGGTACGGTGGATTTGTAGGGCTAAACATTTATTTATTTTTTATTAGTCCTTTATTTATCCAGGTACAAAAAAAAAACTCATTGAGATTAAAAATCTCATTTCCAAGAGAGACCTGGCATCATGGCAACAAAAGTCAAAATACATTTACCACGTAAGTATATAGCATTAAAAACAAATACAATATCCCATACCAACATGTGTAAAATATACAATAACAGATCAAATTAAGAGTACATTAAAAACTATCACACTGAGTAAAAGAGTTATTCTCTCGTTCCTTTAAGACAGACTTCAACTCTCCCAAGGTAACCAATTCTGATCATTTCATTTCCTTCTGCAGATTATTCCAGGAAGCAGGGGCAGCGTTTTAAAAGCCTTTTCCCCCAATTCTGTTCTGATTTTTGGGACAATCAATTGTATGATATTGTGAGAACGAAAGCTGTATTGGTTGTGGTTTTCCCCATTACCAACATAATGGGGAAAAAGGTCCTCTTACCTTAAGAGTATGTAAAAAGGTAAGTGTTTTCAAAAGGGTGGGACTGACCTAAATATGTGTGTCATTTATTCATCATGTGCATGAATGTCATGGCAATTTGGAGCTTTTAATGATTTCTCTGAACTGAGCAAGAAAGATGGCGCCGTTGAGTTCGGCTGCCGCCCTGGCAGCTCTGCGACGACTGTGCTTTTATTTCGTTTTAGATCAATGGAAACCCTGTGGAGAAAGTCTCTAATTTTAAATACCTCGGTGTTTATATCAACGAGGACCTTAATTGGAACACACATACGGACTTCCTCATCAGCAAAGGCAGACAGCGCCTCTATCATCTGAGGCGTTTAAAGAGGTTTAAGATCTCCAAGAACATCCAGAGGAGATTCTACACCGGGGTCATTGAGAGCATCCTGTGTAATAACATCACGGTGTGGTACGGGAACTGCACAGTACAGCAACAGAAAGCCCTGCAGAGGGTCGTGCGCACAGCTGAACGCACCATGGGAACATCTTTACCAACACTGCAGGACATCTACGCTGAAAGGTGCAGATCCCGGGCCATCAGGATCACTAACGACTCCAGCCATCCCGCTTACAAACTGTTCAGGCCACTGAGGTCAGGGAAACGCCTCTGTAGCCTGAAAACAAGAACTGAAAGGTTCAGGAGGAGTTTTTACCCACAAACAGTGAGACTCCTCAATCAAAACACAAATCGGACAACATGATGGACAATTCCATACACAGTATATAATTTTCTTTTGAGTTTTATCCTTATTTTTATTTGTATTTTATCATTTACATCTGTATTTATGTAAATACGTACACTATAGCTCTTAACTATTACAGTGTAATATTTTGCACGGTAAGATGCACAGTCGGGGGGGGAGTACTTTTTAGCCGGAAAAAACATTTCACTGTGTGTTGTACTAGTTATAACTACATGTGACAAATAAATAAAGAATTGAATTGAAGAATTGAAAACTGTTCAATTTTTTTTAAGTTTCCAGTTCTTGGCAGGCTTGAGCCTTGGGTTGTTCCTGAACAGCCTAACCAATTTCCTCTCATTTCAGGAAACAGTTTTGGGTTTTCTTCTAGATTTTTGGCAAAGTGTGGACATATACAAATAACTTGTATTTGTAACCAGTTGAAATGAATTGAGCCAAAGATCAGAATTTACAGATGTTTAGAAATGACACCAAGAGACCTTCCCAAATGGGAAGTAAACTTACAGTTCTACGTCTTAGATTTTCAACGAGTTACTTGGACTTTCCTCTTGTTCTGCATATTGGTCAACCCAGCGACTGCTATCAAACCAATCCTTTATATGCTAGCAAAAAGAAACTACCGGTTGTATTCACTCATCGCCACTAAGAAATGAGCACTTGTCCCTGTCAAATTAGAAGATATTGTAGAACCTTTAATCTACTGAAAGCTAAGAAGCAATTAAATAACTTAAAACTGCAACACTGAAGAAAGAAATATGTTAAACAGTCTTGTTACTGCATACTGTATTGTGCTGAGTACATTAATAATTCGTCACATTAAAGGCTGACGGTCTTCACTCTTTATCACTTTGTATTTGTTTTGGGTTTGAAAACTAAGAAAAAACCTGTCTGTATATAAACATATGTCCATGCATCTCTTCCTTAGCAAACTCCACATCTGCGCTTGCTATTCACAACATTACAGATTCTTTAGTCATTTGGTTGAACTATTCTCATGTTTTTGCTAAAAAACAATCTTTGTTCCCCTAGACTGACTTGGCCCCTACTTGGGGAGAGGGACATACACATGCACTGAAATGCTTGGAAGGATGCAATCTTAAGCGTCTTAAAGTTTAATCACCACAAATCCTTATACTAAACCTAGCAAAACCTAGTTCGTCACTGCCTTTGACTTAAGCGCTAACTCATTATCCACTTGTCACCTACATCCAACGCTTAAAACAACAAATCCTTAAGAAGTATTTGATTGAATGTTTTTAAAGCACCATTTTTATATAAACTGTTCTGGTCAAATGACTTTGCTTATGTTAAGTCAAGGCCTCTGATGATGCACCAGAATGTGCAGGACGCCTTTTCACGTTATTGTATGCTTTCAAAAACACATCTCAGTTGCAAAGTCTCAAAAATTTGGTTGCTTTTGTCAGTTTTCTGTTAATGTCATGAAAGTCAGCAGAACTGCAAAGTTCCTTTTTTAAGTGCCGCAGGCCCGATTTATTGACACATGGCTCAGTGGTGCTTAGAAGGTCACACTATATTAATGGCAGCGACTTTATGTGCTTAATAAGCTGCTCTCAAAGCCATGTTTCTCCCACTTGCTAGTTTTAGGAAATACCAAAGTAAAAAATGAAATCTGTTATTTGCATTCTGCTCCACATGCTAATTTCTTACTTGCATGAGGTGCAAACAAAGCAGCGTGGGTGGTAGGTCTTGCCCAGCGCGGACACGACCTCCCCTTCGATGAAGTCCTGGCAGCTGAAGCAGCGAGTTCCATACAGCCGCTGGTAGTCCAGAGTACAGATGTAGTCACCCTGCCGCACAAAGAATCCTCCCTGGGCCAGCTCACAGCCACATACTGGAAAAAGAGAGGAACAAATAGTCAGAGGTTATAGCCAGGAGACAAGAAACATGTAGGGAAGGGTGGAATTAGGAAATAACCAAATGGATAAAAAAAGGGAAAAGAAGCAGACATCAGAATTTGTTCTCCCTTTTTTCCTTAATTATCAGTTTTTAAAAGCAAGCCAAATGAATATATAGTGTATAGGTTTAATTCAACAGACTGTATAGTAAACAAAACAAAGATATGAAAAAACAAATGAATTTTATACTATAATTTTATTGCTCACAGTGAAAGAGGCAGAAGATATTGCCTTTTTATCCCTTGGCTATTTATTTAAAAATAACTTAACCTCAGTTAGTAACAGCTCCACAAAAGGCCAAAATAAACAACCGTGGAAACTTTGGATGATAGTGAATGAATTTTGCATTTTTCAGAGATCTAAAACAACATATCAGAAACCTGTTAGGCATCCACTTTATTAAATGCTACACCCTAGAAATACAAGAAATGTGGAGAAAACAAAGTAGGGGAATGAACTTTAAAAAAAACCACCTGACTGGGAAAATACACATCAGTCACATGCAACACACCCACCAATCAGCTGATTCACAACCTGTGAACAACCCAGCAATGAAATTAGGGCGCATAAAAAAACAAAAAAACAAAATCATCCAAACTGGTGGTGGATGCAACGCAAAGTCTTCCTAACTTCAAAATGTATGCTCTATGCTCAAAGACAAATCTGCATGCACCATTAGAATGGGAACTCCACAAGTTAGTTTAAGAGACGAGGGTAAAGTTTTAATCTAAATCTAGACAGCCACTTCTATACTTTTATAATTAATCTCTTTTATATTACTTTTATAAAACAAAGTCAGAAAAATCCACAGAGTTTAAAGGAAAAGAAAGACACGGTATTGTGGTACGCAGAGCCAGTTTGAGACGTCTGATTGTTTCCTTCAGTAGGGTCACGTGAGCATGGGTGTGTTATTAGCCCGTGTGCAAATAATAAACCGTGTCTGCTTGTCTGCCTTTGAACAAAACATGACAGGATCTCACCCTGATTACACACAGCAAACATAGCAACCATATGACATCACAGAGCTGCTATGCCCTGAGGGAAAGCTTTGCTTTATTTTTCCTCTCCATTAGCAAAAACAAAACCCCTCCTGCCTTTCCCCCCAATTCTTTCTTTCTGGAAAAAACAACAGGAAAGACACATGATAGAAGTTTGTGCTGCTTTGTGTCATGCCTGGACACTGCTCAGTGAACCTTTACACACTTAAACTTGCAGGGATGTCCAAAAGTTCACTATATGGACAAAAGTGCCACACCTCTTTATCTTTGAATTAAGGTGTTTTGTAAATTCCATTGCAACAAGTGTATAACATCAAGCACCTATCCATGCAGTCTGCCTTTACAAAAGAATGTGAAAGAATGTTTGGTACTAAAGAGTTCACTGAACTCGAGCGTGGCACTATAATAGCAAGTCAGTTTGTGAAATTTCTTCCCTCCCGGATATTCCATCATCAATTGTAAGCGGCATTGATGCAAAGTGAAAGCTTTTAAGGACCAAGTGGCAGACCACGTAAAGTTGTAGAGTGATGTTGCTGAGTACAGAGGGACATAGTGGATGAGAAATAGCTAATGCTCTGCTGACTTAATAACTTCTTCTGCTCTTAACATCAGCACAAAAACTGTGAACCAGGAGCTTCATTGCATGAGTATTCATGGCTGTGCTTTTGTCCATGTCTCTAGCGCATGCTCTTAGCACAAATTCACACACATACTTGCATGAACATTGGAAGGTGTGTGTCAGCAAACTTGCATAAAAACAGTGTTGATGAGTTTTTCCAGTGGTAATTAAGATCCATTTCACTGGTAGACAGGTCAAACCAGTAAATTTAACCAAGCCTAAGTTTCTGTCATTAACTGGTTAATGACCAGCATCCCTCATGTGCTCAAATCAGTATATGTTTTTTATTGTTATCACATAAATGTAATCAAAATAAACATATTAAACAAAAAAATGTCTGCATTCATTTTGCTTTTTAAAAACATTAACAAAAAGAAAAAAGTATCCTCTGTAAATCGCCACCTTAGTGTGGTAGAGGTGTGTCCAAGTGCTACTAGGGGCTTTTTGTAGGGTCTCTCAAGGCAACTTTGTCAAAAAAAACAAAACAAAAGAAGACTTTTTCACATGACCCTCTACGTAAATATCAAGGGACCCAGGAACAGGGATACCAGGGTCCCACTCTGGAACCAGGCCTGGGGATGAGCTTGAAAGGAGGTTTAGCCCACTGGTACAGCAATAATTTTCTTCACTGACATACATTAAACTAAAACTACAACATTTTACTGTGATTCTGATTCTGAATGATATGTTGGATAACTTTTGTGGAGCATTTGCACAATTTCTCTTTTTTTCATCAAGCTCTACCAGGGCTTATGATGTGCTAATAAAACAACAATACAAGCAGGAATGTTTTCGCAGGAAGACAAACTTTTCCAGCAGCTGCAATCAATTCCCTTTCATCCGGTTCAGAAATTTGGCAACCTGTCTACAATGAGATAATGCTCAGATTTGATGGAATAAACACCACTACATGGTAACTCTGAGTGGATGGATAGGTGGAGTCATGTTTCGAGGAATAAAATATAACCACAGAAACAATAATTCAGCAAAGCCTCTTTTGAAATGCTCTGAGACAGTCAGTATAAAATTTGGAAGCCAATTGCCCACAAAGACACTACACAAGGAGCTTTTGTCCTTTTCGTCCAACACCAAAAGGACAACAGGACTCAAGTAATTCTACGAATATTAGGATTTAGAACAGGTTTCGTGTGATTCAGTTAAATTGGGAAAGAACAGCTAAGAGACTGTTTATAAATGACTTAAGACTGCTTTTAAAAGACTTCGGACTTGAGTCTTCAGAAATGATGTGGACTTCTATGAGACATTTAAGGTTTAGGAACTCAGAATCTTTGAGACTTAATGTAAATGTCCTTTAATACACATGAGGCTTGATTCAGAATTTTTTCAAATGACATAAGTCTTGAAGTAAGACTTTAGACTGACAGACTTGAGACTGTGAGAGAAAATAAAACAAGAAAACAGCTTTGCTATTGAGCAACATAGAAAGAGACATAGTGGGCAGAAACCTATAGAGAAACAGACGTCCTCACTCAGTCCTAAATGCTGTTTCCCATCAGCTCATCTTTCAATCCCTGTGTATTTATACCTACACTGCCAGTTGGCACACAGGCTTTTCTCCTCTCTGTATCATAACTTATTTGCTTAAGCAGCTCAACACTTGAGTCTTTATGAGCTCATCCTTCATTGATAACTCTTCCACAAAACATTAAAGGTGACAGCACACTAAATCGTTGTATGTTATTTGTTTAATGGGAAGCAGAGTAACATAGTTCATATATTGCAGATTACTCAAAGTTACTGTAAACTTGCCTCTAATGCAGATCAAAAGGTTTTTGCCTGACTACATGACATACCGTCTCATTGCAAACTGGAACGTGTATTACGAATGCAGGGGGTGGGGCATATGTTGAAAGCCAGATAAAGTTGAATAAACTCAGTAGACATGGAAATAAAAATCAGTGCACTGATTTGTCCATATTTAGAATTCTAACATCAGTGGTGTACTTGGTAAAACTGTAACTTGTTATAAAGTAATACAGAAATGCTTTCCATCTTTTTCCATGGAGTTAAAGAAAAACTGGTGTTTTAATTGATGTGACCAAAAATGTAAAAAAACCAAGAAAATGTTAACAGCCACATGAACGTGTCAGAATTAGCCTTGAACTCTGAACTCTGAACTCAGAAGAACAAAAATGGTGTCATTTTAGAATCATCTAATCTCCATGACAACAGAAGGTGAGTTTGTGGGTGTTTTCACTGGACTCGGACCAAAGAAGACGAGATCACGATGCATCTTATTAGACACGTTGTCCTGAGACTCAGCTGATAAGAACAGAACATGTCCGGGCACTGAACTGCAAAAACAAAAAACTGCAACAAATACAAGAGGTTTTCAACTTTTTAGCTCGGGCTACACAGAAGTGCGTCTGTTTGCACATTGATCCTTTTAATCCTCTGACACACCACACACCATAAGCATGGAATATCTATGTCATAATTAGAAGCAATAACAACATCAAGAAAGCTACCTGCTCTCAATATGTCAGCGTGATGTAGGTTTACAGGTTACACTACAGTAGAAAGATGCTTACAATGTCTTCTGGCTGACAGATATTACTTTACAAAAACAAGACTGTTTCTGTCTCTGAAGGCTTATCTCATGCACAGTGAAGGCACTTGCGTAACTCCAAATGACTTGAGAGGAATTCAGTGTGTTGTGAATGTGCTTCCCTCATGCTAAATGAGGTCTGTTTAGCTTTTCCTCGAACAGAATGGATGGATGTACAACCAACTTACCCTGTTGTGGTCTATAAATAAAATATGGTGCATCTGTTTTCTCATGTACAAGTGAGGTCTAGTGAGAGAGAAAAGTAACAGATTTAAAACTCTGGAGAAGAAACTAAGTCAAAAATAATGCTGGGTATCCTAAAAAAATCCTACTAAAAATATAAAAAATGTCCTAAATATATTTAATTTTGACACAACGAAATAAAAGACAGCTAGCAATGGCTAACTGACTCACTAATCAGATTGTGGTCTTTTTTTTGACTCACTTCTGATTTGAAGCTGCATTGTTGATATAGATTGAAATAACATTCTGCTTATCTCCAAAGTTGATTCTGTTCATCTGGACGTAGTGTTTTCAGTGGGAGAAACGTTTCGTCACCCATCCTATGGACTTCTTCAGTCTCAGCTGACTGCAGGTTTCCCCAATCTTATAAACAGTACATTTTGTATGTGTGTAAATGGGTGAATTACTGAATGTAGTGTAAAGCGCTTTGGGGTCCTTAGGGACTAAGTAAAGCGCTATACATACATGCCATTTACCATTTTACCTTTGCATAATGACTGAAACCAG